CTAGAGGTCAGGGAATCCAAGTCAAATAGAAAATCCCGTAAATACAATACAATAAATGCAACAAGTAACAAAAACATGAGTTCGGTGATTCCCTTTTATACTGCACCAATAAAAGAAATGTATTTCAAATGTTACAAGAACTAGGAAAAAAGTGAACCGAAAAATAAATATGCATTAAAAAAAAAGGTATAATAATGTAATGTAATACAAGAGGCCTATGATAAATCATACCTTAGAAAATATTTTTGCTGAGATGGCTGCTTTAGTTTTTTGTGCGTTTCAAAATGTAACGCACTTCAGCGTTACATTTTGAAACTCTAGTTTGTGTTGTTTGTGCTTTGTGAAAATAAAAGGTTTTTAGGTAATGTTCTTTACAGGTCAGAACTGTCTTATTTAACTGCAACATATGATTTTATCTTAGTTATATTTTAAATGTTTCCAGCAAAACGTGCACAAAACGTAAGAACGTTATTAATCGCACAACAGCCTGATTATCCATTATACATTGTAAGTGTTTATTGCCTGCTGACCTGCTGACAGCTCTCAGAGTCCCCGATGCTCAAGTGTCTGAAAGCCTTTCTTCTTCTTTTGATTGACTGGGTCTTTACAGCGCACTTCATGCTTGCCTATCTCCCATATGGTGTGCTGGTACAAGAAAAGCGCTTGGTTGAATCTGCATTTTTTTACCAGCCAAAGCCTTACTGGAGGAAAAGCTCAATACAACCCCCTTCGCTTTGAAGAGCGATTAATAATCTGAGAGTTCACTATGCCAACAACATGTCCTTCACCCTGACAAAAATAGCTTAATATATATTGTGTGTTTATGTTGATACATCATTGTTTACTAGATACACCATTTTTTACTAGATACACTGACACATCAGCATCATTTTCAACCAAATAAAATTTTTGAAATAAAATATATATTCTGAAAAGGGAAAAAAGTAGAATTGTGTAGTAGAGTGAAAGTATAGAAAGTTCTATAAAGAACATACAATTGTAATGTAGTTGAGCAAATAGTACTCTTCTCCAATGTGAGCTACTTGTAGAATTATCCATTAGCAAATGTGTCAATATGGACAATATGGAGTGTTTGAACAAATAGATTTGTCAGTGTAAGAGAGCAGTGAACCCATGTGTGTTTTTAAGTTTAGAAATAACAGGGACGGCTGCCTGCACGCACACACCTCAGAGTCATTACAGTGCATTTAGGAACCGCACACTTCCCCACTTCTCCTCGGCTGCAGGCAGCTGTTATCAGGGGACGCGTGTCGTACAAAAAGCCGTCTGTTAACGCCAGCGGTCGCTGGTGCAGGTCTGACTTTGAAGCCCCGCTTTGTTGTTCAAGTCACGCCGGTTGCAGGCGGCTGACCCCGCGGGTCGGGCCCCGTCTATGCCCCGAAGCACGCGTACTCACAAACAGGACAAGACACCGCGACGTTCCCGCTGCCGCTTCTGGCGCCGCGGGCCGCCGCGCAGCTGTTCTCGCGATACTACGTCCGGCGTGTTTTACAAGCAGACTCGGCACATTCCGCTCCCTGGAACCACTTTACTGTCCTCCTCTCAAGAGTTCACCCATTAGCCTCCTACCACAGATAACGTTGATATAATGAGTCGTTACTTCGACACGAATATTACGTCCCTTTTCACAAATTAATGAGGCCGCTAATTGTCCTCATTTGCGATCGGAACCCCGGCATTAGGACGCGTCTCTTTGCGCAGGAGGATCACCTCCGTAGCTCCGGGTGCGTGGGCATAATTACAGAGCGGCCCGTTTCCGACATTAAGAGCTTCACTGTTCTGCGGTGCACGATAGTGTGACTGTTTGGGGAGAAGATGGAAACGCTCAATTGTTGCATAATGAAGGAGTCTTTAATTAAAAATACCAAGGAGACACAAAGCAACACGGTGGCTCACTGTGTAGAGTAGCAGGATGTTACTGTGTGTGTGTGTGTGTGTGTGTGTGTGTGTGTGTGTGTGTGTGTGTGTGTGTGTGTGTGTGTGTGTGTGCGTTGTTGTTGTTGGGTTGAACTCAAACCTGTGGTTTATTTATTATAAACCTTAAAGTATAATAAGGCTGGAGAGGTTGGGTTTGCAAGAATCAAACAATAGCGTTGAAAGAATTACAATCAATGAGTTCTAATTAACCAGAGTAATCAAAGAAGGATAACTTTTCTTAAACAGGTCTAACAAATAAACATTTAGAGAATAAATTTGGAAAACCCAACAAATAGTTACTTGGCTTTAAATGGACCAATTATTTTGAGAATTTTCCCATTTCCCCAAGAAGTATTTTGTTCCTTGGCAAATTATGACAAAACTACAAACCGATAAATCAAGAGGGCTGCTGTCATTTCTGACAGCTGGTAAGGATGTAAAGTAGTTCTAATAAGGTGCTGTAACATCACGAACAGGTGCGCTACGAAAACGGAGACGAGCCACTTCAAACAAAACTCTCCAGAAATAGAATTGCATTAATTATAGATTGCTTGGGGCCATGTTTCCCCAACTCTGGCTCCCCGGGGATAATTGAGGAGCTTTTTAAGACGGCGCGCCTCCCCAGTGAAATGAGGACTGCTTTAATTCCACTGTCAGGCCTACTTCATTTGCTAGAAATTAGAACAATGTAGATGTTCTACAATTGGAATTGTCTACACCATCCGTTCACGAGGAATCCACTGTATTTTACAGCTGCGACCACACTACAGAGGGCTGCAATGACCTCTGATGCTTAATAAGAGTTGAACAGGCAGCTGTGGATGGAGTGTGCATGTGTAAACACAAGAGGGTGCTGCTGTTGGCTGGTTGGGTTAAGGGTTTCAATAGTTTTTGGACGAGGGGGATAAACTGTTGGGACGGTTGCCAGGTTCTACCACCAATTGGCCCTCATCTATTGGCCAACTGCAGTTTGTCTGCAGTGCTCCGGTTGCCAAGTTGGGGACACATTGTGAAACCACAAGGCTATAAACTGAGTTGTGAAGTTGCCGAGGCCTTTTGTGCCAAATATAGTTTGCCGTTTTGCTTTCTGTGACATTTTGAAACTACAGTCTAAACTTGAGTCTCTTCAAGGAGTCCCTTGAACCCGCAGATCCTCACTGAACTAATGGACTTGATTGCGAGCTACTTTACAGTTATCATCAGAGAGAGTCAGAGAGTCTAGGACTCTAGGTCCATTTTGTGAGTGTTTGGGACACTGTAATGTTGCCCTTCTTGCAGGACGATCAGTATTAACATTAGAATATTATAACATACTGTATTTTGCTTATTGATAGTATACGATTAGTAAATGCCAGCTTCACTGGTAATGAGCATGTATGCATTGTAACATAAAACTTTATAGTGTACCCAATGCACACACATCAATCACAGTCAACGCTTTTTGAATTGTCAGGGGGGCCGACACAGAAAAGTTGCCCATAACTCGCCGGTTAACCCTCCCCTCTCTCTGTCTGTCTCTGGCAGGAGGTCATAGAAGCTGACCTCAGAAATGTTCCTCACACCTCCCTGCCCCCCCACCCTCACCCCCCCTCCCCTCCCGTGCACGCCCCGCACCAGATGGGAAGTGTAGCCGCATTTTTAAATCCTGCACTCAGGGTTGCAGGCTGTTGCGCTGGCAGTGGGGCTGAAGGAATGAAATATTCATGTAGCCTTAAAAAAAAAAAAAAGAAGAAAAAACGAAAGAAAAGAATGGACACCCCGGGACGGAGAGCGTGCCGATTTATTCAACTAAGACCAGGCCTCATTGAACTGCTGGCGGCGAGGCAGGTCACGGTGATTTTCTTTACCAGTGCTCGACCCCGACTGTCACACACGCACGCACACACGCACGCGCCCGCGCGCAGCAGCAGCGGCAGAAAAGAAGAGGACTGAATACTAAGGTTGTCGAACTCTTCGTAATATCTCAGACCCCCCTCCCCCCCCCCGGATGTTCCTCTCGTGTAATTGATGACCTAATGAGTGATTAGCTCCCGTGTCAGACCACTGAGTGCCAGCGTGAAACCCGCCGCGGCATATGGGAGACGTGGGCGACACTGTTGTGACTGGAGGTGCGCGTGCGCGTGTGTGTGCGTGTGTGTGAGGTGCCAGGGGACACCAGCTGACCTGCTCAAGGACCACGTGACAACTCAAACTACATTCATCTCAGTAGATTTGGTCAAACTTTGTGTGAATGTGTTATGAAAATAATAATAATAATAATAATAATAAGGAAGCTAAAACGTTTTTATGGGGACGGATCCGTGTGCTTCACGTTAAATGATTCACAAATCGCTTTCAGACAACTTGTCAGTTATCATATTCTGCACGCAGGTGTGTCTCAAGTCCGGCCTTCCACCTGTTCGTTTTATTGTTCAGCAAATACTGTGAGGAAGATTGTCCAGCGTTTACTGTTTGAGAACAAACCGCAAGAGTCAAAAGCCATTCGTCACAGAAAATATGGATGTCACGTTTATGAACTTTATGAATAAGTATTTGCATCGTCAAATCACAAATACCGTGTGGAAAAAACGCATCATTCAAGGGGGAAAGTGAAATACGACATAGACACTTTAATAACAAACCCGACATACGCGCTGGTCAAACTTTAATGAACAGGTTCATTATAGATCATCATCTCCCAGACGTTTGAAACATATATAGCCACGCTCTTGAATGATTAATACTTTGGCCCCCTCCCTTCTATGCGATCGTGATTGAGTTACAATGCACAATAGGAGGAGAGAGGGGAAAAAAGTGGAGCTTTGTCTAATTGTTCGTTGACAGGGTCAAAGGGGGGCGGGGGGGGGGGGGTCTGTGCCATTGGGTGCTGCCTCCTGAGGCTGCGGGGCTGCGGGACTGAGAAGTTAGGAGTGAAACTAGGGGCTCAAAGGAGGCTGTGAATAAATGCCTGGCGGAGTGCTAACATCATCCCCGGAGAAGCAGAAGGAGGAGAAGAAGAAGAAGAGGAAGAGGAGCATCCAGAGTTTTTGGCTGCCGGGTGACCCGCTCCGCTTGCCGGCGCACGACCACTGGGGAGGAGTGGGGGGGGGGGAGGGCGGAGGCCTCTGCAGCGATGACCGCTAAAGCGCAGCTCGCGAGCTGGACGGAGTACCAGGAGGACCTGGCCCTGCTGCAGCAACGCAACCACGTCACCTCCAAGACGTGGCTTTCTTCTAATGCGCTCCACGCGTTCTCGAGGAGGGACGCGCACGCGGCCGCAGACGCGGGCTTCTCACTGGAGAAACTGGTGCCGATGAGTGAACGTCCCGACTGCGCGTCCGCCGCGTGCGTCACGGACACGGACTCTGAGCACGCGGCGGCCGCGGTGGATGGAGGAGGAGGAGGGGGGGTCAAGGTGAGCCGATTTGGCCCCCACAAACCAAGGCGCGTCGCGGCCAACGCCAGGGAGAGGAGGCGGATGCACGGCCTGAACAAAGCGTTCGACGAGCTGAGGAGCGTCATCCCGTCGCTGGAGAACGAGAGAAAGTTGTCCAAGTATGACACCTTACAGATGGCGCAGATTTACATCAACGAGCTGTCGGAGCTGCTGACCGGCGTGGCCCACCAAGAGTGCGTCAGTCCACATCCGGGCTCAGCGGACAAGGCCTCCAGGAGGGACCTGTTGACCGGAGAGCAGAGGGACCCCTCCGCTTCCGTCAGCCACCTCATAATATTTGGAGCTCCATCCGACTTGGATTCAAGTCGTTCAATGAGTTCTTCCAACAACAGCGATGGGGAATCTTCGCACCTCAGTGACATGGAGGAAAGTGTGAATGGAAGACAGTGACAGGGAACCTCTGACTCATTCTGCAGTGTCCAAATATGGCAGTGTGATGAAATGTTGACCTTATAAGATCTGCCAATGAAAAAAACGGACTGGGGTCTTGATTTTTTCTTTTCTTCCAGAGGCCATGGTGAACTCTAAGAAGACTTTTTATGAATGCACTTTATGGCCTGAATCATAACGATAGACATTCCTAGTGTCATTTGTGCCTAAATTAAAATAATTATTTTGGTATTTATGTATAGTTCTGGTGTATTGTGAGCAATGGTTTGCTACAATAAATATATACCCAAAGTGTGTGTGCATTTCAAGATTTCAAGTTGTTGGTACGTTTCGTTGTTTTGTTTGGCAATAGGCCACAATTCAGTAAACTGAGTTAGTCAATATTTCTACGTTGTGAAGTGAACTCAAGCATCCATGTCCAAAATGCAGTAGTTGGTGTTTAACTTATGATTTGCATATGACACCCATTTGTTCTCTTTAAGGAAGGAAGTAAAAAAAAACAACAACAACAAGCTAATTCCAAGATGTTATTTAACTCACTAAAACATTTTTGAAACAGTTCATCAGTCATGCGTTCAACCAGCTTATCAGATAATGTCCCATCAAAGCTAGCGCAGCACACATAAAGCTCTCTTTAACATTTCAGCAGTGAAGACCAAGATTGCTTGAATCCTCTTTTTGCCAAATCGGTCCACGGAAATAAAATGTTTTCCAGATGCCTTTCATGCAACAGATAAACACACAAACATCTGCGAGCCAAATTCTGACGCCAAGTGTTCCCAGCGGAAGGGATTTTAAAGAAATAAAGAAACTAATTCAGTTTTTATGGCCGTCTATCATGGATAAAATTGCTCCTTCTGGCCTGTCTCTTAACTAATGGCCTTCTAATAAAAAGTGGGGCTGCCCGCCCCGGAGGGAAGAGGTGGTTGGAACTTTGCCAGGTCCTTAGAAAGTATTTCTGCCAGCCTCCGTTTAAAACTGCCATGGGCCTCTTTGGGGGTTACATGGGTGGAGTAGCTGATGGCCTCCTCCATCTCCTTCATGTCATCCAGCGCCTGTGCCTGGGCATTGTACCCTGGCTGGATGTGGCTGTTCACAGGGGACCGGCGCTGGTATTGGGGCATGACTGGGGAGCCGGGGGCCGACTGGGAAAGGGTGAAGGGAGGGGGCTGGGCAACGGGCCGAGGCGAGAAGGACCGCGGCTGGGAATTTGAGGGGTAATAAACTGGTTTCAGGTCGGAATAGACGCACTCTGAGTCCGTCCCGGGTTGGAAGTCGTCCTTTCGGATCAGAGGGTGGCAGGTTCTTGTTAGGTTGTAGTAAATTGTTTTCTCCGTCACGTCATCCAGGCTCCCAGCTGGCAGGGATTGACAACGCTCACCCTCCTCTTCGCCTTCTTCCGCCGCAGGGAGACTCGCTTCGCTGAGAGACAGCTGCTTTACGTTCAGTACAGGGCGGGCATTGATGGTAGAGTAGTGGTCGGCGGACTTGTCCTCCGTGTCATCAGAAACATCTGCAGGACTGTAGACAAGAGGGGCGGCGGGCTTGTAGGTTGCCGTTGGGAGGATAACGGTTGACAGGTCACATACGGACCTTCTATGGACATCGAGTGGCGGGATAGAGCACCTTCTCTGCACAGAGCACTGCTTTGATATAAGCTGGACGATCTGGGGGCCATCCCTGGACAGGAAGATGAACACTCCTTCTCCCGACTCACAGCGCCGGCCGGCTTCTATTCTGAATCCCCCCTGCAATCACACGCACACATCTTAAAGGAATGCTTTTGGGAGTTGGGTTTGGTTGCTTTCTTCTCGTCTAACTGTAGCAACAAAGAAAATGAGTATATTCTCCCAAAGAATTTGACAAGTGCTTCAAAGTCATGCATCTGATCTGAGATGAACGTCAGCTGATGCGGTTTGAATGAAGTTGTTTCCACATTTCGTGGTATTAATAGGTGCTTTACCTCAACCAGTCCAAATTTGCGTAAGAAGTTGTAGGGCCAGCGATAGAATATGTGACCGGTATTGATGTCCAGCAGCCTCACAGCTTCATCTTCTGGAGAGACCAGATACTCCCCGGCCAATTTGCACCTCCTGGATGCCTCTGTGCTCTGGACGGTGACTTGGTACTGATTTGGAGGAAGGGTCCGACCTAAACACCAGGAGACATGAAAAGATTTGCCACTCAGACATCAGCACGCTGAAAGGGCTCAATTTTACATATACGGTCTTTGAGCAGCAAAGGGAATGACTGCAAATCAAGGACATCCTAAAACGCTGTTTCGAGATTGTGCTAATCTCTCCGTGTGACTGCATGGGCCGCCGGGCAATTTCAGTCTAATCCATTAGGAAATAAAAAGAAACATATGTGTGTAAGCCCGAGCTTGCTGACGCTAATACATTCTGCCGGCTCACTTTTGAATAAATTAGTGGCTTTAGCTCCCACTCACACATATTTAACATTTCTGCTGATGGCTTGAATTTACAATGCTACATCTAAACGTCACTGCTAGTTTTTCCTCGCTTTCTTGTAATAGTTTGAGCAATTTGCTCTTAAGACCTTGTTTTCAGGATAATTCCAGTTTCTCACAGCTTGAGTCAATTTCCTAATTGCCCATATGGGAGTGCTGAAGCATCACCGTGCTGTAGTGTGAGGAGGCAAGAAACACCACTGTCTAATAATAGATAGTAGATAGTATAATTGTATTGTACTCTGTACTTATGATTATAACTGTTGTTTATAACAACATTTTGTTTTACTGCTTGTTGACTGATCAGCTGTCGTCTGCCATTACCTGGTTTCCAAGATGAGTAAAGGTCATTTTCCTCCATGGTCAAGCCATCTCCTCTCTCGAAAGCCCCTTTGTGTGGTTCCCCAGGATCCTTCTGCAAACACAGTGGCACGGTAAACAGTACACGCAGCATACGCCGCCCTTTTTATCACCATTTTATGACCTCCAAGAGGTAAGATGCAAGAAAGTACATAGCTTGTGCAAGCAGAAGAATTAGAGAAGTAAAGAGACAGAAGTTACAGATACTGCATCGACTTCCTCATTGTGTTATCTATCTCTGGTTGTGGGGAAAGTTTCTTTCCACCTTTCCCGAATGATAAGGGCAGCGCCCGTTACAAGAAGAAAAGGGGGCAAAGTTGCCCTGATTGATTACCTGGAAGGCCAGACTGCAGAGGGCACTTAGCCAGTCCTGGCTCGCCGGGGAGGCCAGGGTGTAGGTGCACTGGATGGTGTGCAGGTAGAAGGCGGTGCACCCGGGAGGGCACGACTCGTTTGCAGTCGGGTCGACGCTGAGGCAGTCGCTCAGGCGCACCACTTTCCTCTCGGAGGATTTCTGCCGACCGACCTTCCTCCCGTCGGTGGCAGCATTGGTGGTAGGGCCCGCGCAGAGCTCCACGCGCCCGACTCCCGTGGGGCTGGGCTTAAAAAGCACCATCCATATCTTACGCCACGTTCTCTGCAGGATGATTACAAATGGAAAAAGGTGATTGTTAAACGGCTCCTTGTGTAGTTTGTGTTGCGTGATGAGGAGGTATATGGGGAATATTGTTATACAGATGACACACATCTCGACCTTTGAGGATCCTGCTGACATTTAAGTTATAAAACGTCTGTGATTGATGGGCTGAAACGTTTCTATGCGCAGAGATCATCATCAAACAGTAAGACTACGGCCTCCGGGTTTTTTTTTTTTTAATAAGTGTGTAATACGTAAGGACTGATAGCTGCATGCTTCTCCCGTTGCGACCGCAGTGGCGCGTTTGGTTAATGTCATGCTGCTGCTTACTAAAGGTGTTCCTATGAAGATTAGGCCGCTGCCAATTCGTGGCTAAACATGATGCAGAACAAACCACATTGAAAGTATTTTTTCGACTCAAGAACCTATGTGACCAACGTTAGTTATTATCATCTCATAATATATTATGAGATATAATATATTTTATGAGATAACAAATACCAGAACTTCCCCACTTGAATTTATTCTGTCAGATTACATGATCTCACACAGACACACACACACGGGTCGAATAAGTCACCGTGCTCCTCCTGCATGTTTGAAGTAGTGACGTAATGAAGTTTATTTCAGATTCCGATCAGCAGTCATTTCGACAATGAGCTGAATTAAAGAATCCGGATGTGGAGGACTTGAGTTACCAACTGCCTTGAAGATTTTAAAGATAATTTGAAAAGATGTCAAAAAACCCTTGCACCGGGGATATTTTAGACTTTGTCAATTCAAAAACAGATTGACTTGAATAAAATGTTTTACTGTGCACTGATGGAGTCCCGTGTTTCTTCACTAAAGCTTGATAGCTACTGAAAGAGTAATTATCTTTGCATACTTTCTATTTCCTACGTCAGAAGACAAAAACCTCCGTAAAGGATCTGTTTAACTGAGTCTTTGCAGTTCCTGTAAGCAGAAATAGCGTCACATACATTCTCACAGGGTCTTCAGTGGTTATATTGACTTCAGAAAAATAAGCCAAGAGAAGGTTCAGTTATGCTGAATTTCACTTACTTTCCCAAACTTGACCCCTTGAAGATAGAGCTTCCCTTCCTTGAAGATGACATCCATTCTTGTGAGCTTTACAGGAAAATCTTTCAGTCTAGTTCTCAATGTGGTCAATATGTAACTAAGTGAGAAGTTAAAATTAGACTTCTGCACCACTAGAATACTTGTTTCCTTTACGTCACCAGCACCTTTCATGCCGTTGTCTGTTTGTGAAAGTCTAACCGGCCAAACGTCAAGATATCGCTGACCCGGTTGCAAAAGAAAGCGCCCACAAGAGGGTTTTTTTTTTATTTTAACTTCCCTTTTCAATGACGCTGCTTCCTTGTCATACAAAAACCGGTAGCACACGTTTATATCTTTGTAGGTAGAAAAGCAAAAGATCGTAAACAGATACTGTTTTATTTACAATTGGAATATCAAAGATGCATATAAAACAAAGGCTACGCATGAATAATAAGTACAGCAATTTTCAGACAAAAAAAAGGTTAAAAAAAAAAAAAGGATATTCATCGGGCAGACCTGACAACTATGTCAGGTGAGGATAGAAAAATAATTTCCTTCAGTTCAGTGATACAAAACACAGCTGGAGACTTCTCTGCTAAATTAGCTTAGAAGTCCATTGAGCTATGAGCCAGGTAGTCTTTTCGCCCGATGTTGGTGACCTGCTTGGTCTGCATGGCCTCCAACTTGGGACAGTCGGTAATACGATGACCCAGACCGCCGCAGAACGTGCAGCCCCTCTCTCCTGTGAATACACGAGAACCGGGTGTGTAAGCAAGGGTTTGCAAAAGCTGCTGTGGAACGGAGAATCCGACGAGGTTTCGAAAGAACGTTTTAAGGAAACACAAGAGTAATTACAGAGGAACTGGCTTGCAAAGAGCATGCGGGGGCAGAGGAAGAGACGTGAGCTAGATTTGGAGTGAGCGACTCACCTCCGATGTCCAGCATGGTCTCGTCTCCTGTCTGGAGAACCTGGAGGACCGGAGGAACCTTCTGCTTGGCCTCAACTAGCAGAGCTTTAAGGTCCATCAACACTGACTCGTCTATGAGGACACACACACACACACACACACACACACACACACACACACACACACACACACACACACACACACACACACACACACACACACACACACACACACACACGCACACACGCTGTTAACTCAATGCGATAAACACAAAGTAAAACTGACAAATTCCCCCGGAAAACATCGCTAGTATTTGTGCAGAAATGAATTGATTTTTGTCTGGACCAGTGTTTTTTTCTTACCGCAGCCTTTATTGATGAACGTTGTGGCAATGCCGGTCTTGCCTGATCTTCCAGTTCTTCCAATTCTGTGGACTGGAAAGAACAATTTCATCAGACCAGCTCGAACTATTTAAGATGCACTAATGTTCGTGTAATGTATTGTTTCTGAGACGGCCAAGCTGTTCACTGTGTGCGTTTGTATGTATACATACACACATAGAGTATGTGTACTCTTACCATAGTTTTCTATCTCCTCAGGCATGTCGTAATTCACTACGTGCTGGATAGCTGGGAAATCAAGACCCTTGGAGGCCACATCTGTGGCAACCAAGACATCTTTCTTTCCTTCTTTGAATGCCTCTATGGCTTTTGTTCTTTCCTCCTGATCTGAAAAAAAATGATATTGCAAAAAAATATTGCATTACCAGTATTTTGCAAGACAATGACAAATGGAAAATGAGAAAGACGTGCGGCAATACTTTGTATGCTCAGGAAGAGTTGATGAAACTATTAACCAGAACTGGGGGTATTTGTAAGCAGGAGGGCATCTGGTGGTGATGATGAGCAACTACAAAAACACTTTTTTAACTTTAAGGCCGGGGGAACGGGACGCTTGGTTCCTCCTAATACAGTATTTATCCGCAGGCCATAGTACGACTGGTTGCTGTGTGTTTTTAGGCACCTTTTCCTCCATGGATGGCCACCGCCTCTACTCCTTTTAGCAGCAGATACTCGTGGATGGCATCTACGTCGGCCTTCTTCTCAGCAAATATCAGCACCTGTTGATGTGAGCAGACGTCATTTGGTCAAATCCGACATGATTAAATGATGGATTTCGGGCGTACATCAATGTCATAACGCGGAAGTACTGACAGGAGGCGGTGTTTTCTGGAGACACTCCAGCAGGTACACCATCTTGGCCTCCTCTTTGACATATTCCACTTCCTGCGCACACACAGAGCATTTGTTATTATACACACGTTTTTTTAATTGAATGCAAATCGATTCCCCAGAAAACAAGAGACACCTGAACATACCTGGATGACATCCAAGCTGGCAGCTCCAGCCCGGCCCACGTTGATAGTGATGGGTTTAACCAGTGCACTCTTGGCAAAGTTCTGGATTTTTTTAGGCATAGTGGCGCTGAAAAGCAGGGTTTGCCTTTGTCCCTAGATAAAGATATAACGCATAGGATGTTTAATGTCTGGGAGCACAACAAAGTCAGACTACAGCTTCAAAACTTAGTTTTCAAGATTTTGGTTTGGTAAAAAAAAAAAAAAGTTCAGCAGCTGGAAGATTAATGTTACTATTTAGGTTGTGATGAAATCTGCTGCCTCTTACAGCATCAGAACGGTTATTACATATAAAAAATGAACGTATTGAGAGGGCCCGATTGTACAGACACATTTGAGAGAAATCAGAAGATTAAAAGAAATTTTTCCATTAGACAAAAACACCCATTGCATCCAAACCAGAGCTGAATTTTTCCAACCATGGATTTATAATGGACGTGATATGTAATTTGGCATTGGCCGCTGTAGAGAAGGACCTCACCTTGAAATAGGAGAAGATAGTTCTGATGTCTTCCTCAAAGCCCATGTCAATCATCCTATCGGCCTCATCCAGGGCCAAGTAGCGGCAGATGTCCAGACTCACCATCTTCTTCTGCAGCAAGTCCATCAGTCGGCCGGGTGTAGCAACCATCATGTGGACACCACTACAACAAAGAGCCCATAGAGAGTTTAGATGGAAAATAAACTGAACGTGAATCTCAAAAATGCAGTATTATCGTTGCCCTGTGATGTTCGATTTGAAATGCTGGTACAATGAATGGCATTTTTAATTCATTGTTTGGAACTTTTGACTATTTGACTATATTATTGGGTGATTTCATGTAACTGAATAATGCATTCGTTCGCCCAAATCTTCAGTCTGACTTACTGATTTACTACTTCCATCTGGTCCTTGACAGACATTCCTCCGATGCAGAGGGCAGTGCGTAGCTGAGGAGCTCCTTCCTCCTCCAGCAGCTTGCAGTAGTACTCGATGATGCCGTGAGTCTGCCTCGCCAACTCTCGCTACAGCGACAGGGAAGCGTGTTAAAGCCTGATATACACTTAGTTGCAAGGAAAAGGCAACGTTGCCCGCGGTAAATGCCAACTGTCTAAAGTGCAAACGCTTTTACTGCTATATGAGGCATTTCAAACTATTTGTCTTTTTGTATCTTACTGAGGGACAGATGATGAGTCCATACGGTCCCTCTCTCTTAAAGAAAGGCAGTCGTTTCTCCTGCTCCAGTGAAAACATGATGATGGGATGAGTGAAGACCAAAGTCTTTCCAGAACCAGTGAAGGCTATCCCAATCATGTCTCGACCTGACAGACTACAAACAAGACCCGGTCAGTTCATGAGCAGTGTAGAATACTAGTGCGTACAGTATATGTGAATATGCTGTACTTACACTGTGGGAATTCCTTGAATTTGAATTGGTGTAGGATGAACAATTCCCTTCTTTTTCAAACCTTTTAGAATTGCTGAAAAAGAAAAAAAAAAGAAATTTGTTAATTCATGTCGGTGTGTTTTTCACACATCGGAGGGGGATGCGTTATAACCTGGTGGAAGCTTCATCTCCCTGAAACTTTTGATTGGAGGAGGGATGCCGTCCCCATCGACGAGGATGTGAAACTTCTTCCTGACGCGCTCATGTCTGGTGCTTGGCATGTTCAGGATGTAGCGCGGTGCCTTCCAGCTAGAGAGAACATCGGCGTTAAATAACAAACATTAAAAAATACATTCATCCAAACAAACATGTTACTGTATAGAATTCACCGCTAAAGAACAGACCTGGTTTTTATGGGATCATCATATATGATTCCTTTGGCCATTTCCTTCACAGACATCAGAGCTAAAAAGAGGAAGATTCAATTTGAGCATGTTGCTTAAACATCTGTTAGTTTATCAAAGTAAACCTGATTAACGATCAAACATTTGAACTTGACAGCAATCTGGCTTTACCTCTGCCCTCTGCGACGCTCTCGAGAATTTTCTCTTCCTCTTTCAGCTGCTTCTCCTTGGCGGACTCCTTACGGGCTTTATACACAGACATAGACAGCAGGTGAGATATTGCAGATCCAATGTGGTCAGATTTAATGAGCAGTATGATGATAACAACAAACGTATTTCAGAGCGGGTTGCATTTGCAGTGGATACCTTCTGCTTTTTCCTTAAGGTGCTGATGCTGGTCGAGAAGACTAACATTGGAGCGTGGACCGAGACCCTCATCCTCATCCTTCTGATCCTCCCCACTGTCTTTCTGGTCGTCGTCCACCGCCTTTCCTCGCAGACGTAACATCTTGTTCAGCTGTGAGGTACATTAAGAGAAATACGTATTAAATATGAATATGTGCCAACTGGATGAGATGTTGATAAACGTCATTTAAATAATGATTTACAGTAGCGGTGACTTACCATTTGTTGTTTCCTTATTTTGACAGGAATGTATGGAACATAATCGTCAGCCTCTGATCCTCCTGAGCCAGACCTTTCATCCTCCTCATGAGATCTCTGAACAAATGCATTACCAAGATCACCAGTAGTTTAATGTATTATTACTCTTGGACGGAGCTCAGCATTCACACAGTTTAGCCTTGAAAGGCATCCAGCGGAAGTCCTTCCCAGACGTGCAAAGTAGCCGGTATATTTGTTTCATAGAAGTATATGCAGATAATACATGTAATGGTGCTGGACATTACCACGTAGCAATGTCATACAATGCTATTGTTTGGATGTGATCAATCTGTATACACCAGTGGCTTGTGCCACGTGTTGCCACACCGTGCAACAGGACTTTGACACATGATATTAGATGATCAATCAAACACACTTTTATAAGCTTAAAGAAACTGTTAAAATGATGTGAATTTGTTTTACATACAGTTCTGCAAGAGGCGGTCTAATTACATCATTTCGGACACATATACGTTTGATTAGCTGACCAAAGCTTTGGCAATCAATTCAACACATGTACATGCCATTTTCAGATGGCATGATGTAATGATTCGATGGTAAAGCGCTCTTTATATACGATAAAATAAGCCTTTTTTGCTTTATAACGTTAAATATCTCTGTTGCTAATGTCAATGTCGATGCATATGTCATCACCTGCATCCAGCAGGCCTGGAAGCTATATTCAAGGCCAACTGGTTGACTGGTTATTTTACGTATACGTAACGTTATCATTGTGTGTTGGACATGATGTTGTGGCACTGAAAGGTAACGTTAGCTATCGTTGACGTTGGTTGCTCGTTGAGTTTTAACGTTAACGTTGAATACATACAAAATCAACATCTGTTCACTCTAGTAGGATGTTTTCTATTTCGCACTGACCTGTTCCAATGCATTTAAAAGAAGTTATTTATCAGACGTAAGCATTGTTCAGGACACGAAGCTTGGCTAGCTAACGTTGGCTAGCTAGCCAGGGCTAGCTAACGTTAGCTAATATAAGCCGTATAACGTTAACGATCGTATTCATTACGCGTAACTTACCTTTTTGGATCCATTTTCGTTCTCCATTTTATTTATGAATACAGCAACGTCCGCTATGCACTTAAGCCACAGAGCTGTTGACAAAACCCTCTCTACAAAACTCAATAAATATACCAAACACACATGTTTACACAACACAGGAAGCGTCGATGCTGTACGGAACGCAGCAAGGGTCAAACCTCTCGGGACGCGACGCGGTATCCAAAATACTGCGTCGGCTGCTGCCAGTTAAAACCAAACCAAAAGAGATTACCGTAGAAAGCAAACACCACACTTTATTTTTGTTAAAACGGTATTGTTTTTAATCTTTCGGAACGAAAGATTTTTCACAGTATAAAAAGTGAAAAAAGAAACAAGCCAACATACACTTGGCTATTATTGATGAAGTATAAATCTACATTCGACACATTAAGATAATCTTCTCTAATTGATCATAACCTGTAAAGCATCAGAGATGATGTATGAAAATGGTTCAGGAAAGAAACCATCCACCTCAGTTCAAGCCCTCAGCTAAAACATGATTACTAGTGTAAATCCCAAGGCTTCAGTGATATTTCTCATAAAAAGATTATCACGACTTGGACTTACAGGTTAACTGAGGCACAGGGTTCCACCAGGGTCACAGTACAGTAAAACATTAAATAAAACAAAGAGTAGTATGGTTGCAAGTATACCTCCCACACAACCCCCGAGAAATGCATAAAAAGGCTCAAAAGGGCCCTAAATAATCACTCAATATGTACAAGCATTGAAATCTACTGCGGCGACACACACACTGGACCAGCTGCTGCTGGGATCTAGAGGGTCATTGGACAGCAAGCGTGAGAAACCCATGGTAAACAACTTTTTTCTACAGATGGCCAAATGTATATCGGATATCGATATAAGATTAACGCCGGAGGATTGACAGCAAAGAAATCTGCTAACGTGTTTAGCTTTGAAAGTAGTCTGTTGTACACATTATGTGGGGATGTATTTAATTGTTACTTTAATATTTATAGTTTTTAAAGGGAATCTTACGAGGCAGGATCTCGTAATGTTCTATTAGCATTGTTTAAAAAAATAATAATTTCATACAAAACAATAAGTGTAGAAGGTGGGTAACCGATTCTCATCTCATTTAGGACAACTGATCATAATTAAATATTGAGAGAGAGCACTGAATGCAGTGCAGTCTGTCATTAAGTCAAATCAATGCGATTGTTGCCATCGTCCCTATTCATTACGTCAAACTGTTGTCTTGGGCTGCTTTCAGTGGTACAATAAAAGACAAATGGTCTCCAATGTCTACTCCGACTGGTGTAGTGCGCTTGAAGCTTGCGATGCTGAACGTAATATACAACGAGCACCAATTTGAACTGATTGGAATTCAATTCAGAGTTTTAACAACGTTAAAATGTCTCAGATTTGTGATAAAAACATTTATTTCATTTTAAGGTAATTGTTTACATACTACATACGTAAGCACATGGATGCAGTGGATTCAACAGCCTCTTTTTCCATTTTTGCATCTCTCATTGTGTGAACATTGCAGTAATAGCAAACGGTACAGTTGGCCTTGAGAATGATCCCTGGCTTGTCAGCCACAAGTCATGTTTCAGTCCTCTGAAATGGAAAATATGATTTTAACCAGGGTCCCTTGGCTTTGTCAGGAAGAGAGAAAAACAGGGAATGAGAGAAGGCTTCAGGGCAAATGAGGCTCTACTGAAAGAGTTTGTAGTTGTGAAGTATTTTTCTGGCACTCGTCCAAGTTATTGAGCTCCATTGGAAGGAACCTTTTTGAGGCTGAAGTTGGACCAATTCACTGCTACCTTCTGGCGGGTTTGTTTTGCAGAATCAAGGCAAAACCTGCAAGGAACAGAGACGTACAAAAGAGAAAGTAGAGGAGGAATGCAGAGTTTTATTGACGTGTCGATGGTAATCAATTCAAGTGTCTAGCCCAAAGGGTTTAAAAAAAAAAAAAAGTACCCTGATGCGCTCCCACGTTAGACCTACCTTTTGAAGTATTCCACCTCCCGATCAATCTCATCCATTTCTGTTGGATCAACATCTTTGGGGAGAAAAACATCATCTAGGAATAACAAACACTGAACATTAGTTACACATTCCAAGTTAAAGAACAGTTGAAATGTTGCACGTGGTGTTTAAGCTAGTGTATTGTACCGATAGCACTGCCAGATTTTTCACCCTTGTTCTTGTTCTTCTTATTCTTTCCCTTAGCCTGCTGCTGCCCATTCGCTGGGACGGCGCCGTGAGCTTTGCCTTCCAAATCCTGCTCGGACCGACCTCCTCGTCTCTCTGCATCACCTTTCCCCCTCTGTGCGTTCGAGAGGCCTCCGTTTGCTGTATGTTTAGACAACCGGTTGTCCTCGGCTTTCTTGGGCCCGTTCCTCTGGTTGTCTGCAGAGTGCTGGGGCGGTTTGTTCCCAGCTTTTGAGCCGCTAGAAGACGCTTCTTTACACTCAGTGCTTTTCTGTGGGTCATTCCCAGAGGCAGCTTTGGTTGGTTTGTTGGAATTTTGCTCCGGCACAGTTTGCTCCTGCCTTTGCTGCTGCTTTTTATTCTTCTTTGACTTTGCACCACTGTTCCCAACTGGTGTGTTCTTGGGATCCGGCGCATCCTCATTTGATTTCGCCGTTGCTTGAGCTGGCACCTGTGGCAAACTGTCAGATCCGGATGAAGTGCATCTTTCTGGGGACCGAACCCGTATGAGCTTTGAGAGACTGGGGGTGGTGTGCAACCGCTGGATGTCCTTGGGCCCGGCACCTACCCCAGACGCTGTAGACGTGGGGGCGGGGTTAGGGGAGGGCACTGCGGGTGTGTCCTCCCAGCCATTAACCAGGTCCAGGTGGCTCTTAAAGGTTCCCAGCGAAAGGGGGGCCAAGTCAAGGTCTATCTGCTGCAGGTCAGAGGAACCATTGAGATGCGACAGTAAATGGTTGCCCTCCAACGTGGCTGCCTTCTTTGGGAAGTCATTAACATCCAGATTGAGATCGTACATGCTAAACGAGGCCCGGATCGAGTCTTTTATGGTGTTCTTAATCTCTTCGAGCCGACTGGTGAGGAAACTGTTGACGCGCTCCAGCTCCAGCTGGGGCCAGTCGAGCAACCGACTGGCTTCTGAACCGTCGGCAATGGGCTCGTCGTCGTCGACAGGCTCGCATGAGTCGGAGTGGGGGTCACTGCCTGCAGCACCTACGTCCTGCTGAGCTTTTTCCTGGAACAGAAAGGGTACAGGCTTGAGAGAGACACATACACTCACCAAATCGAAACTTTAATTAGTTCCAAATGTCAAATTATAAATCAATAAAATGTCCTTGAAAACTCCTTTTCTGATGAGCACTATTAATAGTAACAACTTAGAGCTACTGTAGAAACATGGAGGTGCAACACAGCGGACTTGGACAAGATGTGAGGATCTACTAGACATAAATGGCTCATTCAAAGTGAGGTGATTATACACAAATAAAACACATTGTAATTATGAATATTACATTTCTGCCCATAAATTGCCCTCAAAATGCACCCGACATTTCAAGTAATGCTGATGTAAATGAAATCTGTCCTACAGCTGAATCAACGGAAATCGAGCAGCTTGACGAGTTTCTCGTTTCTCACACGAAACTTGTGGAGCTGCTTGTGTTCTGACAACAGAAGCGGTTACTCTGGCAGGAAAGCGTTTCTGACCTTCTTTTTCTGCTTGTGCCGGGCTCGTTTGGCAGCCTTGGCACTGTTGACAGGTTTGGGTTCAGAACTATTAATAAAGTCCAGCAGCTCATTTACGTCCCGGTTGTCGATGGCACCAGACGCCGTCAGCTCGGAGTCTTGACGCGGAGGGAGCTCGTCTTTGCGGCGGGTCAGACGCGAGCGAAGCTTCTCTCTGATCTCGGCGTAGTTGCGGCTGGTCGGTGCAGCTGGAGGCTGCGACCAAATCACAATACGCGACAGAATATTTTCCCCGTTAGATACTTGTTCATCTTTGAGGAAAAGCTAATAGCAAACTGTTGACTTCAAAAAGAGCAGACGAAAAGTACCGCGTTGTGTCCGAAGAACTCGCAGTAGCAGCAGTCGCAGTACTTCCCGTCCTTCTGGTTGGTGGAAGAAGACGCACAGGAGCTCCTCTCAGAGCTGCTGTCTTCATCCTCCCCCTCCTCCAGCTCAGACGGAGGGTGACACAACGTCCCATTCGTCATCTTGTGCCCCTTACATGCTTGGTCCCTGTGGAAACAAAACAGAAAAAAAAGAGCCAATGAACGTCAGAAGGCAGTAGTTTCAAATGAACACAGATCCGACTCAGTCCTGCAGCAAAGCAACTTCCACATGGTGACACCAACCTGCAGGCCCCGGCCGTCAGATGGCCCACATTTGAAGCGGCCACCGTCCCCACGCCGTGTCCATTGCAAGGGTGGTTACAGCCCATGATGGACGTGCCCAGTTTGCTGTGTTGTGTGTTCACGGCGGGAATGTGGGAGTTTTTGCACGGGCCGGGCTTATGGACAGACGACGGGCTGTCGGGACTGGAAGAGCTGAGCTTGGCTGTGGGAGTGTGGAGGTTCGGCACCAGCGGGGAGAAGGGAGCGTGGGCCACCGCCGCCGCCCCGGACGAGGACGTTACGTGGCTGTGCTGACCGGAGTTCAGCTTTGGGGGCAGCAGGGAGGAATGCGGAGAAGACAGGCCAGTGGGACTGTTTGGGGGTACCGACAAGTCTGTGTGTTGATGGTGGTCACTGGGGTGAAAGGCTTCACCTGGATCATGGACGACATGAAAGTAGGGATTTAAAAGAAATCACATCCTCCTGAGCGGTGCTTCGGTTTGTGTTCGGGGAGAATATTTCTAAAACTGCATTGGATTTGCACTAAATGTTTGCATACGTTCAAAGTAGGAACACATTCAGATATGGAATACCGCACCATTGCCAGGTGGCAGTTTGCTTTTATATATTTCAAATTAACCTTTAAATCAGGGCAGCTGGTTCAGCCTCACAACCAACACTCGTACATCCCCCCATGAACGGCTAATTTCATAGGAATTAGATTAGAAACAGATCAGAGGGTCTCTTAAGGTGGATCACACCCAGTGCCAGAGATTATTTATATATATATATATATATATATAAATAAATAATCACGCAACACAACGCAGGTGTTGCCACCGACCGATTGTGACTGATAATGGAAGATATGGAGGGATGAATGAGATCCGGTGCATGGCGGCTCTTATACTTGGTTCCTATAGCGGTTCAGTTTCCCTGTGTGCCGTTTGTCACTATGGAATCAGCCATAAATCGATAAAGTTCCCACCGCAGCAATTTTACAACACTTAATGAAATGTAGATTGTACTCAGTGTTATCTGAACAGCATTTAGAAGATTTTTGCTCTTATTCTATAGCCGTTTTATATTATTGCTCCACAGCTGAGTTTGAGTAGTTCGGTCCGTCTTCTGCGCTCCGGTTTGCAAACAATGCTGATGAAATATTAAGCCCTGCGGTTCTGGTTTATACCCTTTAGCATTTAAATGTGCCAGTTCTGGATCACTATTATAAGCACAAATAACACTGCTGGTTTGACGGTTTATGATAAAGACAACATATTAGTGGAGAGTCAAGTGAAATGAAATGCGAGATGCATCATTAAATGTGTAATGACGCTTCTCACAAGTCATTACTTCAGTCTGGCCACCTCCCCGTGCGCCTCCAGAATTGTTTCACACCCGGGTAAGAGTTTCCGTTCAGATATAAACCCGAGGCCCGGTATCGGTTTCAGAACTACTTAAACTAAAATAGTCAATTCAATTTCAAATACGAGCAACAACTCTCCAATTAAAAAATGGTTAATAAAAATGTATAAAAAACAGAAAAGTGAAAAAATACATAAATATGTATGCGAGTAGACAACACTTGTTAATATACCTGTCACATATATTAAATCACGACAGTTTCCTCACATATTGCTACACATTTTAACACCACTTCAAACCTCGAGTTTGACAGATGGAATCTGATATCATGAATCGCTAATGAATCCCACGAGTCACGGGCAACGTTACCTGGCGGCGTTGGTCGGCGGCACATGGTCTTGAAGTGCTTGGGAGTGCTCTTACAAAGGTCTGCTGAGGTAGACATGGGGCTCCCAGATGAAGATCCACTGGAACTCTGGGCCGAGGGGTGACTGTAGGGACAGACCTTCGTGCCCGACGTTTTTGCAGATTTCCCAGGCGCTTCATGAAGTCCTCTCTTCTCGTGACAGGCGGATCCTGCCGTTATACCTGGAGATTAAACATGTTTGATGAATTTGAAGTGGTGGTGATGAGGATCTAAGACAACGGTTCAAACAAAGCTATTTTTCCCCCCGACAAACTTTGCCGACACCGACGGCGTGGCTGAAGAACAACACAACATGGACGTACTATGGACAGTAAGGACCTCCCCGTTTCACAAATCATCATGAAGATCATAAAGAGTTTGAGAGCCTTGATCAATATAAAGTATCTGCAGATGTACTTTATTTTAGAATCCCCTGCTTTATGGAGGCATGTTTAAGAACGTTTTATTGTTCAATGGTCAGAATTTGTCACTGCTTGGAGAACAGACCAGCAACGAAGGACAAACCAAAAGGTTAAAACCCCTTAATGCTCACCAAAACAAATAGCGCCACGAAAATATTTGAAATACTATTAATACCCAGTTAAACCTTTGCCACGCTATGTTATGTACAACGAATTAGCTCAATTTCCACCAAACACCAGCCAAATATTTGTGTGATATTATTTTTATCATCAAGTCAATCATCAACAAATGTGATTAGAGCTCCACACACCATTTAAAATGCCATCACGTAGGCCGTCTTTCACTCGCTCGGCAACATGATCCATTAGGCTATTTGGTAAACTAGAAATAAAGCCTCTAGAAAGGCAAGAAACAGGCAGAAAGGAGATAAAAGCAAAGATCGCAGCTGTCTGACGTGCCCTGCTTCCCATCACATAAACAACTGCGCTTACTCGGGCCACGTTCCTTTCTTTTGTTAAGGCGAGAAAATGTTACAGCTCGGTGGTGCACCTGAGCTTCTTTGTGACAGAGTCCTTTAAACCACTGATCTACCTCCTACCTTTCTCTGTGACAACATTTTCCCCCACAAAGTCAATTGATAATTCCATTTCAGTTTCTTGCATTAAAGATTATTATTAATCTTATTGTTATTGGTTTTTGAGTCATTGTATTTGAAAGTTCAGGAATACATTAGATGCTTATATCTGGGTTGTAACTCACAGGATTTGAAAGAAATGATTAGATGGAATAACTGGATCTAATATAATGATATATGTCATATTTTGCCTCTGCTTTGCTGCACCTTTCTATTGACACGGATATTTGACTCTGATTTCAGCACCACACATGTCAACACTTCCACGCAAATCAGTCAACGATCTCCGATGAGGATTCAAATTAATTAAAGAGAGAAAAAAGTCTTTGTACAAAAACGTTTAATTATTGCTATTTTAGTCATAATCATATTCTCTGAAAAAGTGAAACCATCTTCATTTGGAAGTACATTCCTCTCTAAGGACCTCAGGAAGTCGAACATCAGCTTATGAATCAAAACGAGTGCGGTTTAGAGCAATTACTGTGGTTTTCTGACCTTGTTGTGTGTGTGAAGAAGTGTTGTGGCTGCAGTGTTCCCCTCCGTTGGTGTGGGCAGAGTTCCAGAGACCCGACAGCTTGTGGGCTGACAGGAAGGAACTCGGGTCCCAATCCACAGTACTTTGCTCCGGGTAACCGTTCCCACAGCTTTGAGACTTACAGGAGGAAGAGTGTGACAATAGTACCTGAATAAAAAACAAAACAATAAATGGTCAATCACAGAGCCGTCTTTGTAAGCTTACATTTGGAAGAAGTGATGACAAGTATCTAACAGTATCAGCTGGTTAGAACATTCTGCCGGTTTCACAGTATATCCCGGTAGTTTTTTCCTTCATTCACGCCGTAAAGGACCTCCGGCCACCTGAACACCAGCGGCTCGATAAACTTTACAGTGTTTTCTGATCTACTTTACGCTAACAAACTAAAACTCAAAAACCCAGCGCACAGCTCCCCTCTTGGGCACAAGTTGTGTTGCTGCAGCTGTGGTCTCTCGTTGCTCCTCCGGCATCGCCCTGTTCTGTTTTTTTTCCCCAACGTAGCCACGGAGTTTCTTCTGCTGTACCCAGCATGCAGTTTGGCGGTGTCATTTTATATATGTACAATTAGTGTTACAAATTGTTTGTGTCATAAACCGTGGTATTGTACCCTGTTACAGAGCGTTTGTTGTGGATTATTAATCGTTGTTATAAAGTTACAATCATGACGTCATCACAGTACACTCAGTAAGAGAAGTAGCTCCCACCGCTGCGACTGGTAAACAATTTATTTATTCATACCGCCCCACTAAATATATTAAACAAAGAAAGGCCACAACCGGGGACCTTTAAATGATCTTTTTCTTCTCATTTTGAACATCTAAAAGTTTGAGAAAAATACCAACAAAGCATCTTGAACATGTTGCTCACCTGCAGGTTGGCTTAAGTGTGATAATAATTTTAAATTTGCATTTAAAGTATTTATTTAGCAACACCCAGGACGGCAAAGGCAATAGCTGCTGCTGATAGTTTTGCCAGAGACTCAAATACCAAATATATTTCTCCTGAAGAGCAGAAAATCTGACCACTACATGTTTAAACTCATTGAATCCCACAAAAACATCTGACAGATTCAGTCAGCGAGTTCAATGCAATACCTCGTATGATGAATTAAGATGAGATCCCTGCAGTCGGCGGAGACCACCACAGTTTAACGAAAACAAAGTCTCCAGAGCCATAACCCCAAACACCCCTTGTACTTACCGGCGTGGGTTGCTCCTGGGTGCTCCGCCTCTCCTCCTCTTCCACACTCTTGCAGCAGCTCTGACATATCCACAGAGGCACCTCTCCCAGCAGAGACTGCGATAGCGAGGGCACTGCATCGGCCAGTTTACGCCCCGGCGCCTCCCGCAATAAGGCCTGGGAGAGCGCGGGCACGGCGTCGGCCAGCTTGGTGCCGTGGCCGCCGGGGAGTCCGTTCGCAGAGCCCGCTCCCCAGTCCTTAAACTCTCGGTGGCACAGGAGGCAGCAGGTGTGCATCGGCTGAGTGGACAAAGAGAGGATCAAGAGGTCAAGCAGTAGACCGTGATTACCAGCTAAACAATAGTAAAAAAAAAAAAAGAGGTCAGAATGTATTCTAGAGCATTTGACTATTCCCTTCTAACCATAGCGAACAATCACACAGCAAACCCATCATACAAAACCTCCAGCTAAAAGGCCGATGAACACCTTTATCAAAGAGTGCTGGATTGAAGATGGATAGATATTTGCTTTTTTTATTGCATTTTAAATGGTAAAGGGAAACTTTGTGTTTAAGATAATACGGTTGTAAAATAATTCTGCCCTACCAAAAACGATTGTATAATGTAGCTATGAGACATGTCTACACAGGCATCTTATACATGTGGTATACGATGTATTTACTCAATTAGTGACCTACTGAGTTGTGGACCCGGTGGTCAGGTTAGCTGGTTGATGATGGGACATTGGCCTGCAGCACCAGCTTCTCTGTCAAAAAGGTTGCCGTTCACCCTTTAAGCAGTTTAACGTCACGGACTTATCCAACGTTAGCTTGGCATCACTGGCTGACCGCTGCACGCTGTACAACTTGTGGCTGTTGTCAAACTCAAACAGCAAAACAGCGCATCGCGGCAACTAATAAGAAGATTAACGATGTAATAGAGTGGAATAAAAGAACTCCAGCCATGTCCTTTAAGTGAGCCAGCCGTTTTATTTACCCGTTACCTCTGTCAGCTAACTAGCTTGTTAGCTGGCTAGCAGCTGTTTAGCCCCTGTGGACTTAGTGGTTCCTGTGGCTGGTGTTCAAGTGTGGGCAGTGAGCACGCTCGGTAGCCCCGGTAGCCCGGGTAGCCCGGGTAGCCCGGGTAGCCCGCCTAGCCTCATCATGGTTCAGGCTACCTGGGGTGGACTGGAGAGTGTAAAACGCTGAGAAGGAAAAAAAATGTGACGACCGGTCCGAGACACAATGTCACCTGCCTGGCAGCAGGAGATGTGCTGCAATGCTAGCTACACTGCCCGCTGCTAAGTTGAACGTGTTATTTATTGAATTACACACCAAACCCAATATCCAGAGACGGCTACGTGAAGATTAAAAAAAGCTTTTTCCGACCGGCGGGTGCATGAAACTTCACCTCTGCAGGATCTGTCGACATGCAATAAAAAGCACAATGGAGGATGCTGGGATTAGCAGAGGGGGGCTGCTAGCTCGGAGGCTAGCTCTCGGTTCGTTCCAACGCAAAGCGATTGGCTCGCCGCTAGCTAACATACCTGGTTCGCCCTGGTTGTAGCCAACCGATCCAGCCCGGCATCATCATCTCCGTCGCCGCCGCCGCCGTCAGCTGCATCGCCGGGAGAGACTGGGCTCTTCGGTACGGGCTGCTGTCCGGGCGCAAGCTCCTTCTGGGCGACTCCTTGCTGCTTGCTTTTCTTCCTCGCCATCGCCGCGGTGGTTAAAACACGCTTTGGCCAAGTTTGCACCAGTTTCGTTGATTCGTGGAGCACACTTTCGTTTCTTTTCTTCGGACCTCCGAAATGTTCTCTCTATCTCCTCCAGTCAAGACAACAGTCAATATGGCGGAGGACTGGCACACTCGGGAGTTCATAGGTTAAAGACACTGCTGGCAGAGCGGCTTCACGCGCGTTCTTTGAATACAACTGGAAGCTGAATTAGACCGTGAAGCCAGACGCCGCCATGTTGAGTGAGGGCGCCCGTCTGCTCCTCTTCCTCGGCGTGCGCAAAGACAATTAAACGCGTCCTCCCGTCTGGACTGGCCCACCAAACGGGCTGTTTGACAATATTGATAGCGAATAGCACGCGCTGGTTAAATATGCAGTAGAATCCCACCCTGCGTAATGTGCACGGGCTTTATTTGAAAAGTTAATATCACCATCAAAATACCGCTGTCGTCAAAGCAACTTCCATAAATGTAGCAGATATTTTTTTTCAGACACATTTAAGAGGGGAGAGTTTGATGGAGCATGCGTTTAAACAATGCAATGAAACTTCATGCAACTAGGTGAGTGCACGTGCATATACGAGTGGCTTGTATAATTTGGGATTTGCATATTATAGGGAAATGACGTGCTTTAGAGAATGTCAATACCTAGTTTTAGCATACATGTTTGAAACATTGTGGGGCGTTGAAAGGAAATGGGATGAGGGCTTGATAATGACGCGTTACGTCGTCGGTGATGCCTTAAAATACTTCAGGAATATACTACAATCGTAGCCCAAGTTTACCACAACGACCATCATGGCCACATTACGATAGCAGATTAAACATACATCTTTTATTTTCCTTGTGAATGCTTTGATCATTATGTTAATTACTATTGGCAATTTCTTAACTGTCTTACGTGCAACATTCACAGTATCGACACAGTGTTACGTTTATTAATACAAAGCCGACATAGTTCAATACTTTAGAATGGCCCTTCTAGTATTCAAATAGGGAAAAAATAGTTCCCGCTGGTACGCGATTATAATAGAAGCTTAAATATCCGATTGTGCGCGGAACACGTGAAGGCGGCGTTCAGGACGCGGCGCAGTCTGAGCTTCGTCCACTCCAGCCTGCTGCCGCTCAAACCACAATAGGTCGTTTACCCGCGGTTCTCTTAATTTCAACAAACAGAACAATGATGGACGGAAATATTTGCAACATCCAGGTGCTTCTACGGGCTGCTGAGTTTCTGGAGAGAAGAGAGCGAGGTAAGCGTTTTGTGATAAACTGTCAGTGTCAATGGGAGAGAGAGAGAGGGAGAGGAAGTTGGTTATTGTTGAAACAAAACATTACATAATGAAGGTACCGTTTGCACAAATGCAATATAGTGCAGAGTGCAATGCAAACGGTGGATAAATCCCCCAATATTCTCGCTAGGGTGTTATTCCAGTCGATCTTTCCCATCTGACTGAGTGACCTACATTATCGGTCCCATCATTGTGCTCAAAGGCGCCAATCTGGTGATATTTGAATAGCGAGTCGGGAGCGGCAGTGAAACGCTCATCGCGGCGAGTCGAAGGGAGACGGTTCGATCCCTCAGCCCGATCCCTTTCCCTCCATCGTCTGCAAACTGCAGACAATTCAGTGTGTTTTTTTTCCTGCTCGCGGGGCTGCGGATCACTTTTATATCGGTGAATAGGTTGCGAGATGGCGCCAAAAACGAAACGCCCCAGCTGATGATGTTGATGACAGCCCTCCGTCGATTTTCTCCCCCCCCCCCAATTCTCTTTTCTCTTTTGCAACACATAATAGATGGAAATACTTCCTTTCATAAGGGTCCATCTGAGGTTAATAAATGGGAGCACTTTTCTATTTAACCTTACATCTCACTGACTTTTTTTTTTTCTTCCACTGCTGCGATGCGATGTTTTTGGACAGAGGCGGAACATGGATACGCTTCACTGCAGCCGCTCAGTCCAGATCCCTCCGACAAGAGGAGTAAACAGAAGAGCAAAAAGACCTCCTCTGGGGGCAATAGGTGAATACACTTCGTTACACACGGCCGTACACCAATGGTGTGTTTCTATTTACACGAATACCACTCTGTCGTTGCTGTGAGTTATTGCTGATACATGTTGTTTCCTTTTTTTTTTTTATAAATGCAGGTCGGTTCACAACGAGCTGGAAAAAAACAGGTAATTTGTGTTTTTGAGCAGTCATCATAACACACACACGCCGCGGTTTTCACTTGCATGGATAAACCTGGACTGCTGTTGCCTGTGGCCCTCTGCAGACGCGCGCAGCTGAGGGAGTGCCTGGAGCAGCTCAAGAAGCAAGTGCCTCTGTCGTCTGACTCCATGAGGAACACCACGCTCAACCTGCTGAGGCGAGCCCAGCTCCACATCAAGGTCTGCGCTTTTGCTCTCGGTGGTCTCTTTCCCGTCTCGTTGGGCCCCGGCGCTCACTCGCCGCGTCTCTCCGCGCGTCTCTCGCCTCAGAAGCTGAAGGAGCAGGACCAGCGCGCCGAGCAGCTGAAGGGCCGCCTGCGCTGGGAGCAGAGAGAGCTGCGGGTTCGTCTGGAGCAGCTGCAGAGGGGCTCGGAGAGGATGAGGAACGACAGCCACGGGTCCACCATGTCGTCCGAGAGGTCGGACTCCGACAGAGGTACTGGGCGTCTTGGTCTTGGCACGCGGACACAGTTGTCAATGTTTTAGTAAGATTCAAATTGGATCGTCTCACATTCAAAACCGGCTACGTTAAAGGCTGTACGCAAAATGAGAAACCTCATCTTGAAAATCATCTCCCGTCTCCTTGCAAAGTTGGGGCCGTCACGCATCAATGTAGACTTCTCATGGATAGGAGTTTAGGACGCCAATAGGACTCCGGTTGTTACTTTCTGAATTTGAACTACAGATTGGCAATAATTGAAAAGTACCTTTTTTTTTATCAAAATTCAGGGGAATTTACGTAGAGGCAATACGATTTCCCAAACTGTTGTCTAGGTAAATGATTTAATAGTGAACATCAATGATAGTTTTATTTCATAGAAGTTGTAATAATGCATTTAATATTCCAACGATCATTGTTTGGTTTCATATGCCATGTGAGAAACATAATTATGAAAGTATCATGATCTTGATTGCAATCACATCCTCATATGACCCAGCGTTAGTCTGTTCAATGAGACGAGGGACGTTTCCCCCCCCCCCCCCCCCACTAATGGATTTGACTTGTCGGTCCCCTCACAGAGGACGTGGAGGTGGACGTGGAGAGCATCGTGTTCGACTGCCTGGACTCCGACGGACTGAGCATTACGCACACCGGTGCAGACCACTGTTACTCCAGCATGGACAAAGCCTGGCTATGACGTACGGTAACTCGTGTCACGTGACCAGGTGGACATGAAGAGGAGCAAAACATTCCAAAAATACAAGTCACCGCCTGAGGGAGTGGACTAAAATGTTTCTGTACAATTGAACAGGTTTAAAAAAAAAAAAAGGTCAAACTACAAGATAAACAAGGACGTTGTGAATGAGCTGTGTTCATTTGCACTGAATATCGGTAAACATGTCTGGGCTGGGATGGATGTAACATTACACGCATGTATTTGCAGCCATTAACATCGGTTTACTTCCCACGATGGGTCTGGAACGACTCTTTTTTTTCCGCTTAAACGGCTTTCTTGAAATCCAAATAAGGGCTTTCTAATTCAAACCTCTTAACTTATTCTTTACTACAGTATGTACGTCTATACTGAATTCTGCCTTAAATAAGATTTTGTTTGGCATCCCGTACTACTTTTCTTTTTAGCACTACGTTCATATTTTAGCAATGCCATGTGTAGCATGCACTTAAACATCCGCCTGCGCTATTATTGTCTTATTATTATTATTATTATTATTATGTCAAGTCAGACCCGTCATGTCTTCTGTGTTCTTCTGTAGCACAAAGCCACTGTACATCACACTTGTTTTGTCTCAAAACAATTGGGAATGTATCAAAATGAAAACCGAACACAAAAGAACTGGTCACGTTTGCACATTTGTATCCGGCAATTAAGTCAAATTTGGCAAGTACTAATTCAGTGTATTTGGTCAGAATTGAGTCTGATCCAAGTGGAAGGATTTTATTGCCTGTATTTAAAGATGAATTGTGAGCACATGTGGAGAGTACAATGAGTTTTATTCACTGCTTAAATGAACTGATCTGCTTCTTAGAGGTGTGCACTGTTACAACTGTGCACTTCTCACATCAATTACGCATGCACCACTCAACTTATTATGCAACTTACGCTGTATTACAAGTTTGTTTCATATCTATTGCTATATATTTAACTGAAGGTGCTTTCACCCTTCACTTTTGTATGCAATATGCCTTATTACCTTTTAATAGTATGAATGCATTAATCTGTCCTCCGCCCAGTAATATAATGTAGCATTTTTGTACTGTGTGAATGTTTTTTTTTTTTATTGAATAAATATTTTGTATATTTATGTGCCATTCCAAATCATTTCACCAGACCAGTTGATTCAGACGGATACACCTGTTTTGCCTGAGCCAATAAGACCATCATGGCCGTCTTTGACCGACCTTCACTGGTTCCACTTTCCCATTATATTTGAAAAAAGTGAAGGTGGTTAGTCCCCTTTTGATAAGTCATCTAGCTACGCCAGGTTAGGAGACAAACACACTACAACACAATTATTACAAAGGAAATATTCATTTATTAACAAGATATTTAATCACTTAATTAAGAGCACATTGTTGTACGTGTTGTGTAATCAGATCTAACAATACAAAGAATCATTTTGGCCTTTGTATACATCTTCAGTCAATGCACTTCAACTTGAAGCAATCAGTCTCAGTAGGAGGTTTAAGGTGTGGTGGGATGAACTGAGCTAAAAGACAAAATGATTGTGGCAAAACAGTCAACTTAAGTAAATCAACCATGAATTTGCATGAATCATATTTAGTAAAATGCTAATCTGAGCATCTAAAGAAGAAGCTTTTGGTAATTCAAAACTATAAAAAAAAAAATAAGATGGCATACAAAAGAGAACAGTAAAAAGGAGACGTTGATGGGCACAGATGTGGAGCAAAGGTCAGAGACACGGGATCAAGGATTGCCGTTATTACTTTATGGCACCCGGAGCCATGTTCTACCGTTCTTTTAAGATCACCATCTATGGGTACTACGGAGATGATCTGGGATCAAATGTAGGGTTGTAACGGTTTAAGATTTTCCCGGTGCGGTGACCTTCTTAGAAAATATCACGGAATTATAACTAGTATTGTTAAAGTCAGTTACAATGACCCTGAAAAGACAGAACAAAATTGTAATGAATTGACAGAACCAGAAACCTGATAATTCATAGCATGTTAGTTTACATGTTATCACTATAGAATACTAAATGGAGAAAAATGCTGTAAAACAGTAAAATAACATCCTATGATCATTAACAATAAACGTCCTTTCCAGGTGCACTCTTGTCTGTACCTTTTAAACTCACAAACTCTGCCTTACGTCCGTTTTTTTCAATACCGTAAAAAAGCAAATGTACCCGGTACTTCAATCCTCGTACTCGCGCTTCACCGCTACAACCCGATTGAAGGTAGAACATGTTCCAGGAGGCTGGAAACAGCCTCTGGAGCCCAGCTTTTCAGTCCAGCCACTGCTTCAGTACGCTGCCTCCTCACGACGGGATCCGTTCATCTAAATCACGAGGTTAAGGGGGGATAAAGATAAACCGGCGCCGTAGTGCAAGATCTATACGGCTCATCACACGTATTGCTTCTTCTGGGCCTGTGAGGCGAGGTCTTTGGCTTTCTCCTTCGCTGCCAGCGCCGTCTCTCTGGCTCGCTCCGTAGCAGTTTCTGCTAAGCTTCTTGATGGAGTTTCACCTAGAAAGGATGTAAGACATTGATCACAATATTGGTATGCGTCAGGACAGAACATTTGACAAGTAGGCTCCCAATACATGAGCTAAGTGAGTAAGTTTTCATCTTATCCCAACCGCTCATTTGTCCATCGTGCACTTCATGAACATAACAGCCCTACTAGCATCACAGCGAACACGTTTCCAATAAAATGTCCCGTTCTAACAATTAACGCAACGCACAAACAGTTTACCTTGCATTTTGGAAAGCACGTATTCAAAGCCTTTCATGGTCTTTGTAACACTGGTCTTGAACCTTGCAAGACCAAATTCCTGGAAAAGAGAAGTCACAAAGTCAGCTAAAAATAAAAGACCACCGTTTCTGTCAAACATCATTCAGCATCATAGGTCGTAGCAGAGAACTGCTCTACCGCTGCACCTTAACACACGTTGTTATTAGGTTACCAATTACCAAATGAAAAATATGTGCGAGGCCCCCACGCTTCCCTCCCCTGACCTGAATGGCTCTGGAGAGCCCGTAGATGTTGGAAGAGATCCAAGCTTCTCTTCTTATCTCTGTCCAGCTGCCGTTGTCGCGGTTGATCTGGTACTCACAACGCTCCTCCACGCACTGAGACACAGAGGGGAAAAAAAACAACAACCAAAAAGACAGAAGCAACATGAGGCTGTGTTTTTTTTCTTTGAGCGATGCAGAGTGCCCGTGGAATCCAACGTTTTGGTACCATGAGGCGAGCGTGGCTGATGTTCCATGTGAGCGTGGTCATGGTCTTTTTCTGAGGGTCCACAATAGAGTCCTCAATGATGTATGCCGAGCTGGCCATCTGCTTTGGAAGGTACGGCTCCATCCAGCGAGGCGCTCGGCTCGTTTTGGTCAACAGTCGTCTGGATTTGAGGCAGTTGGTTGGAGTAACCTCCCGGAAAATGATGTCCTCAGTCAAAACATGGTTGCTGTGGGAGCAGGGCGAGCGATGGATTAGGATGTGTAGGATTCAACCTTCCGAAATTCTCCCACACTACTCCACTCCTCCGCTCTCTTCACTGGCTACCGGTGGCCGCCCGCATCCAGTTCAAAACACTGGTGCTCACGTACCATGCTGTGAATGGATCGGGTCCAGCTTACATCCAGGACATGGTCAAACCCTACATCCCAACCCGCACTCTCCGCTCTGCATCTGCAAAACTACTCGTCCCTCCCTCACTGAGAGCAAAACACTCGACTAGGTCTCGACTCTTCGCTGTCCTTGCGCCGAAATGGTGGAACGCGCTCTCTGAAGACATCAGGACCGCAGAGAGCCTTCACATCTTCCGCCGCAAACTAAAGACACACCTCTTCAGACTCTACCTCGACTAAAGACTAACAAATTGTAGCACTTAAATTGTACTTGTAACGTCACTCATCTATAGCAAATTGTAAATTGGCTTATTTGAGGAAATTGCACTTTCTTGTTTCTTGTTCTCCTGAGTTTGTACCCTATGGTTGAATGCACTTATTGTACGTCGCTTTGGATAAAAGCGTCAGCTAAATGACATGTAATGTAATGTAATGTAATTCATTAATGAAGAAAATCACATTGCACTTCCATGGAGCTCCATGGTACATCTTCACTTCAAAAAAACAATAAGGTATCCAATTTGCATTGCCACAAAAATCACTCTCACGTGAGAAAAGGAACCAGAAACCTATTAATTAGATCAAAATATTTTCTCACCTACAACTAACATTTATTCTCACAGTCGATCAGGTGACTACTTCCTTAACTCATCATTTAACCATTTGTTTAAAAAGTGTCATTATTAGTGAGAAATGGAAAATATCCCAATGAAGTATTCAAATGGTTTGTTTGATCTCACCAGCAATCAAAACCCTAAGGGATATGCTACATCAAGTTTAAGCAGCAAAAAGTACCTTAAGTATTAAATATTTTTTTTAAATCACGTCAATGGGCTAATTTGACCCTCACAGAGCACCAAATTTGATCGGCAAACCATGTTTTATATGCAAAATTGTAAGGAATCAGCACATAAAAGGTAGTTGGGCTGAAAAGAAAATATATATTGTAAAGTACTTCAAGCCTAAAGCTACTGCTTAAGAAAGAAGCCTCCCCTATTTCCACCAGTGTTCATCACTAAACAACTGCTGAGAAATCATCCCAACCAACACTGCAATTCGGACAAAGAAGTTCAAGCGCGATCCGGAGGCCCACCTGTACGAGATGACGTCAGCACTGGACTCACCTGTAAGGGTTCGGGTAGCGTTGCCAGAAAGCGATACACACTTGGTCCCAGCTGCTTCGGAGCAAACCGGCGCAGCAGAAATACTTCACCATTGTTCCCGTCCGCCAGCAACCTGATAAAACACAGAACACGCAGGCTTACCGGGGGATTTGTTACTCCAGACGGTCAAAACTGGACGAATGACATTCAGATGTATTTACGTAACTAAGACCGTTACTTGTTAAACAAGATGTATGCCGTTAAAAGACACCGCGTTTGGCCGAACCTTTTGGCTAAACGCTAGCTAACGTGTAACAGTTAGCTTATGACAGCTGTCATGTTAGCTAACGCTCATTCTTCTGCCGCGGCTAAGAACAGATAACGCTAAGTTAGCTCACGGAGTGAATGATTAACGCGACAAACGTTAAAGCCCGACGAATAACTCCTCCGCGACTTTCTAACGTCAGATAAAAACGCCCCTTTCACATTTGTCACGTCCGCACTCCTAGGCTACCTGCACCGTTAGCATCGTGAGCTAGCCTAGCATTGAGCGAGCGCCGTGTTAAATGAATGGCACCTCCGGCCCCGCACACTCATCGGCGACTTCCAATGACCGTATTGCGGCGTTCATTTCAGGGACGAGGGCGGGCGACTACCTGTGCGGCGACTGCAGTCAAAGGATGAGTATTTTCATGTTCTGCTCCGGTTGGGATGAACTTCCGCCGTTCAGCCAACCGTCGGATCGTGTCCAACGTGACTGCCAGGGAAGGTCAAAAACAGCCACACTTCCGGTACGAGGTGCGCATGTGACGCGTTCTGAACACTAGAGGGCAGCAGGTGACGGTGCAACGTGCAGTTCTGCATGCAGGAATATGGTGTTCAACGCAGAGAGAATTTAGATTTAACTTGAGGGGGGCTTATTTTATGTAGTGGTGTCAAAACACCAGGAAGGGGCATCTGTGAAGCTCCTTCGATTTATGTTCAAATCAAATAAAAAAACATTATAATGGTTACGCTGACTGTCCCCTTGAGCAGGTCATACTTTGCTACAGATGGATAATCCCTTAAAAAACATTTCCAGTCCGCAGCAAAATTTTCACACATTTACTCTAACGCCAAAAGGGTTTAATGTCAATGGCCTAAGCTCGCTATATGTCTACTTGTAGTCCTGGTAAAGGCTTAGAGTTTCTGTAATCTGCACTGCAGAAAGGAATATAGTCTAAACCAGGAGATTAGTCATATTGGTGTCAGGTTCCTGTCGTGCTAAACCGAAGTGTATTATCTTGGGTGTAAAAGGAATCACCCTGCATGGGCAACATTTGTCTTGTTGTTCATTAAATGCCTTATTTTTACCTACTTTTATTCCTCAAAATGTAGTCTGAATGTTTATGTGAGAAAGTTGATTTTTCTCAATTTTGATCATCTATAAATGGTTTCCAGCCTTATGATTAAGTCGGTTTAAGCTGACCTTCTTGTATTACAGTATGGGGGTTATATTCACCCCCAAACTGTTATGAGTAGTGTTTTTATGGTGTCAGCGTGCAGTAAGAATGCACCGCACTTTTTAGATTAACACAGTCGGACCAGATCCGAATTTCATCCAACCCACAGTCTGTTTATTTGACACACAAAACATATTTTCTCCTAATGGTGCAGTGGGAGCTCAGGGTGAGCGCCCAGACGCTGTGTAGCTGACTCATGTTCCTGTGCGTATTACTCACAGACCACACACAAAGGACACCTTGACAGCGGAGTACACAGTTGCATGTTTTGCATTCTTCCGAATCCCTTTCTTAAACATATCCACAAAGCAGCTCCCCGTGATTTAAAAGCAATTTCTCTCACTTTCTCGATTCCATTCTTTCGGACAAAGAGTCTTGCTGGCCTATTTAATCAGGATCAGCTGGTTGCCAGGTGAACACAATTAACCTCCTGGTTTGACAGATAAAAGCCCGCGCTGGATTCCTTGGATGACTATTGAATGTTTCTCTGTGAGAACATTGGAGTGAATCGTAAATGGATAAATTAGGTGAAAATCATTTTGAATCATTTTGAATGGCCAACGAATAGAAAAACAAGTGCGGTAAATTAAACTTCAAATGAAACACAGTCACAATAATCCCCTCTAGTAAGAATAATCACTGCAGCTTCAGGTAATTTATGCAAAGGAGTGCATACATATTTTTACATCATTTACCAACAAGTGGACACAATTATACTTTGTACTAAGTTAACTAACAGCGGAGTAAACACTTTAAACATACATATTGAAGAGCTTTGACAAGTACCATTGACAAGCAAAGGAAAAGCCTTACATAAAGTGATTGGCATGCAAAGCTTTGAGCCCTCTCCAGTCCCGTAAATGCTCAAGATCAGGCCATTAAAGTCAAACGGCTACTTCTGAACCACAAGCACCACAGACCAGAAGTGCATTCAGCGTGTTCAGTCACATCCTACTGGCTTTTAGAATTGTGCTATTCTCACACAGCGGTCGGATGTTGTCCGCCATTACGTCCATTCAGAGTCAGCCTCCGTGAGGAGCGTGTCCTGAACGAGCCCTCGGGGTGGAAGGACTCAGGCCTATCTTCACAACGGAAGACCATGAGGAAGCCGTTCCTGTAGTTTTTATTCATCCACCCGTAGAGGAGAGGGTTAGTGAAAGTTGAACCCATGGCTATGATGTGGAACACGGTGTATATCAGTTTGTACTCCTTAAACCTGAGCACCAGATCCAGATCACTCGCCAGCTGAAACACATGGAACGGCAGCCAGCAGATGGCAAACACCACCACCACCAGGGCCAACATCTTGGTGGTCTTTTTGCGGCGGTTGATGCTGTCGCTGCGGCTGGACGGGCTGATGTGATTCTTCAATTTGACCCATATGCAAATGTAAGCGTAACTGATGATGGCCAGAGGGAGGATGAACTGTAGGAGCAGCATCGAGAGGCTGTAGATGACTCCGCCCTTGCTGGTCCCGTGGGGCCACCTCTCAGAGCAGACGGCAATGCGCAGGTTGATGGAAGGGATCTCCTCGTGGCGGTACTCTCTGAAGATGGCCAAGGGTGCTGCCAGGACAGCAGACATGGACCAGGTGAGGGCCATGATGAGGAAGCTGGAGTGCCAAGTGAGGCGCCGGCCCAGGTGGAAAACGATGCAGCGGTAACGCTCCAGAGCAATGACGGTCATGGTCAGGATGGACACATGCACACTGAGGGCCTGGGAAAACGGCACCATGTGGCACAACACGGCTCCAAACTTCCACTCGTCCAGCAGAGTGTAAACCAGAGTGAAGGGCAAGCAGAGAGTGTCTACCAGGAGGTCGGCCAGGGCCAGGTTCGCTATGAAGAAGTTGGTCACTGTTCGCATTTTTCTGTAGCGAATAATCATGTAGACTACGAGAGTGTTGCCCAGCAGACCCATCAGAATGATGAGGGAATACGCCGTGATCAGGATGATCTGTACTCCGAGGTGCTTGGTGATGTCAGTGTGGAAACCAGGGTGGTGTGAACCTGTGCTGTCGTTGAACCAGGTTTCACCAAACCAGGTTTCACCAGCCGCCCCTTCGCTGGAGGTGTTGTATGTGTCTGGTGGGCTCATTTTATCGGTGGGTGATGTATTGCTGATCGGTGCCACCTGAGGAAAGAACATGAGAATGGTTTTTGACACAAGCCTGGAAGAATAGTTTTTCTAACCAAATACGAACATAAAACAATATCGATTGTCATTGTGCAAAGGCTTCAAGTGCACATGTCTCTCCGATTTCTGCATTCCCTGTCAGTGCCGACACAGTACACCAGTCACTTGTCCTCACCGAGAGGGTGTGCCATGTGCCCATGAGCCCTCACTTGCTTCCCACTGCTTTAACTTGAAAGCCAGAGAGCTGCCACCTCAGGCGTGTTGGTGTTGGAACGCTTTTTTGTACCTCCGAATACCTCCTGGCCCATTATCGTCCTCCCTTTGTGCTATAATGCAATAAGTCTGTTATTTATCCCCAGGGTATCCAACCTCGGCAGAGAAAGAACGGGCAACAGCATTGACAAAATCCAACCTCCAATGAAAATCTGACTAAACAGATGAGATACAGACATACTTATTATTCCGTACATGCCTGGAAAGGGCAGGTACTATTGTAAATATCACACTCTTGCTGAATCTATTTTGTACTTAACTTGAGAGAGAAACAAGGAAAATTGAAAGGTTATTGAAATTCTTTGAAGCGTGCAAACCAAATTATTAGAACACCTGCCCAACACAGTATTGAGGAGCTTGGTGTTCTGAAAAGCAAAGAAAAAGGAAATATGCGGTCATTCCAAAAATTCACAAAAAATGGACAATGTTTTACCCCGAGCAAACCCCTGTTTCCCGGGTGGCCTGGGATTACGGATTTGTTTGGTTACAAGATGCTGGTTTTTTTGCAAGGGACACAAACACCTGTGTCATTTATAAAGACTAAAGGAAAATGATGAGGGAAGCAATGCAATCAGCACGAGTCAGACAGTACAAAGCCACATCATTAGGGCCGCCGACTGCTCGCATACCGCATGTCGGCATCGCATGAAAGGCATATTTAGTATGCCCTAATTTGCGAAAAATGTATCAGGGCTGGTTAATGTTATACCATATGTTAATATCTCTCTTTAGATTCGTAGGGTATTATCTTGACATTTATGATAATTCACCCGAGACAGGCTGAGAGCTTCTGCTGGATACAGAGAGAACATTTGGTCATGGCATGTGTATAAAAACTAATCTCCATTCAACTCTTAATCAACTGCTAAATCCTCCTGCATCCTCATTTATCAGAAGGATGCTAATTTCATTGAGTATCAGCAACAACCCGAGTCTTTCACAAAATCCACAATACTTATTTTGTTAGTGTTGGAAAAACTGCATAATGTTCTACCTTAGTACGACAGAAAGTCTGTGCTCTTTCACATAGAGGCACATGGTGTTCTGGGTCATCTGATAATCAAGATCTTTGTGCGTCGATGTTTATAATGTTAAAAAAAGGGGGAGACTTTAGTAGCTGTTCAGCAGTGGTCAAAATTAACTTTTCACATCAACATCTAATTTTGAAAATTCTCTTCATAAATGACTAAAACAAACTGGAAACCATTTAGTGGGAGGTTTTATCTTTAGTGACAAGACACTTTTTAGTTTCCTCTGCTGATGCTGTAGCCTCACATACTGAAATTTTCTTTCTTTAATTCCCAATTGAATATTTTATTGTGAAACGTTCCACGTTCCTTGTTGCATTGTTGGTTAACTTTATCGTCAAATGTATCTAAATGTTACACAGATCACATTGTCTTCTCTGCAATTAACTTCAAGCAGCAAGTGTGTGGAAGCAAACGTGTGTCTGTGTGCGTGTGTTCGTGTTGGTGATCTTTAAACTGGTGTACATTAAATTCCTCTATCCAGTCTCTGGCTTCCCTACAGACACTATAAATAAGGTGCATAATGAATATCCCCTGGGTATCCAACCTCAGCAGAGGAATTGTGAGCCATGAAAGGATTTGCAGAATAACTCAAATGTTTGTAATAACATGTGTTGCAGTGCTAATTTACTAAAAAGGCATCCACTTTTCTCGTGGATCATTTGTCAAAGTACACGGACACACACACACACACGCGCACCCAGCAGAGAGCAAGCATATTGGAGGCGACACATAATCAAAGTCAAAGCACTCTTTCTGATCGAAAATGGTAATCCAGGATCCGAGGCTGATGACTAATTCTTAATTACCTGCTTGAGCAAAAAAAACAACCTAATAAACTAAACAATTTCAATCGACTAGGTTGTGACCTCTACATACTGACATTAAATTGTGATGAGGATTACAATTCCGCATCAAACGTGCAGTGATACTTCGGTCGTGCCTAATTTATTGCCACTTGGTTTTACTGAACGGCACGAATTCGAACATCCCCAAGTGAGCGCTCAAGGCTTATTCAACCGCCTGGACAGGTGCAAACCGTTTGCCTCCCGCACGAATAGTAAGTACGTAACTGGGACACTTTTCAGATGCAACTCTCAAATCCAAATTACGCACATACAGACCAACAATTTCAGCAGTTACGCCGCGCAGAATAACGGATCCTTTATTATCTTTCTCCTCAGAGAGCTACAATGTTGTCACTAAATTACCCTCACTGCGTTCAATTAAATTCCAAAATAAACGGCATCCAAACATTAATGGACTCACCTTTCCCACTACATCTCCTTTTCCAAATGGGTCTTGACAGGAAAGCGGCGTGCAACAGAGCTGTAAAATATCGAGGCTCCTCCCAAACCGAAGCGCCCATGGTGCGCATCTTGTGTGTCCGCCTGTGCGCTCCTGATGCAGTTCTACAGGATCCACATCTGCGCCACGGACCGTCAGCAGAGATCTGTGCCTTGTAGATCTTTGGTGTGTTCTCACCACTGCATTACACATGAGAGACGTTTGTTTAACTGTAACAGAATGGCATTAAACGTGCAAACCCCCAGTCTTTACTTTATCTATTGTATATAAGCAGTCATCACATTCTACAGCCTCCTTTTCTTCGTTTGATTCATGTGAATACAACTTTTAATGAACTTTGTAACAATTTAGAATTGTAAAGCAAATCCTCATATTGCTTTTTTTGAGGATTTCAATAATCACACGAGAAGCAATAAAACTAAACTATTATGTTGTAGTGCAACAAACCATTCCTAATTACACAATACGAATACAGTTAGAAATATTTAATTCCCTGGGAAGACACGTCTCACAAGATAATATACGAGCGCTTGGGTTAGTTTAAGAGGCTTTGGTTGGGGATTTCAATCATTTTTTTATGTTCTTAGTCAGTCCCTTGATTGTGTTTCCACTACATGGGGTTCAAACAAATGGATGTGTTGTGTGCCTGAAGTTATTTTTTCTCATATAATATAGCCTGAGGTTTGTGAAAATGTAGTGGCTAGTACATTTGTCCAGGCTGACTTTGATATTATGAACAGACATTTCCAAGGAAAGCTGAAATCTAAAGTACGTTTTTACAGTGAAATATATTTGATTCATAGACTTGAAAAATAATCCAGCAGTAAGACATTTATCATTTTACATAAATAATTTGCAGCCACCATGACTCTGTTTGAAAAGGGATAACCCTGTCACACTATTTTGTATATCAGATTTCGTGCGTATTTCAGTGTCAACAGATAATTAGGGAGCTGAAACATGGTGTCAATTTAAATTACGCACAAAAAACAAAAAATAAAATGTTGGTAGGAGAACAGGATGTCTCCCTTTAACCGTGTCTCTACGAGTTGAGAGTTACCTTTCACCATCCACTCAAATTGATATTTTACTATATGACATGATAATTATTGAAATGATTGGCTCAGCAAGAAAATTAGTCTTATTGATTGGGGCAGGCTGCCTTCCCCCCTAAAAGTATTCCTTCAATTATGGGAGCAGACCTCCATTTTCAATGGGTCAGTCGATTCACATTTTATTCAGCCTGACATGAATGCCCTACAGATAATGGATTTATGTCTTTGCCACAAACATTCCTGTACCTCCAACTGGTTCCCAAAGTAGTGAGGAGATTTTACCACAGACAACATTTTTGCATATATTTAGGTTAAAGCAGCACTATTGTATAGGGTTCGTATCTGCATTACTTGTGCTCATATTACTACTAATCCATTGCATTAGCATTTCATTCCACTTTATTTTATTACTTGTGCACTGTTGTCTTGTCTGTCTACTGTCGCGCACTAACCGCCAAGACAAATTCCTTGTATGTTTGACATATTTTGGCTAATAAATGTTTCCTGATTCCTGATTCCTGATTAATCAACGTACTTGGTTAAACTGTGGCGCTCCCTTGATTCCTATCATCCGCGGCTCTCCACTGGATCACTGTTCAGGCCCTCTGAGGACATTATTGCCTCTGAGCTGATGCCATAAGTGACTGTGGCGTCTTTGCGTCGCACAGCCACATGTTGATGTTCTTACTCTCTGTCATTCTGTGTACGCTGGGCAGACGAATCAACGTCGGAGCAGAGGACAGACAAATTGGCAGATCCCCATTCAAACTACCTCCACCTTTTTTTTTTGCTCTTAGTGTTCTTATACAGGTGGAGACTGTAGACCTAATGCTGATAACAGTGTTTCCTTCTTCACCGATGCAGACAATTGATTTACAAGGATGGACTGTGGAGTCTGCAAACATGGGGTCTGAATTTGTGACAGCAGTTATACCTCAGTTATACCTCCTGGTGTACTTTTTTTCCCCGCTCCATAAGACGAGGCCAATGTGTCAAGGAAGTCAAACCTGATCCTGGATGTCTGATCTATATATCTACAAACATTACCAATATATAAGTCACTATGGACCCCAGGTGTCCATTAAACCTTAACCATAATGATACCGGAATATGGACGTTTTAAAAATTAGACTGAATGTCACGATGCCTTTGTCTGTGGCTCTTTGATTGTGTCCTTTGTTTTTAAAAATTCCATAGACTATATAAAACAAATCTGTTTATACCCTATTATCTGATGTGAAACAAATGGACCAATCACAGGTGAGTTCACATGTGGCGCATGCGCAGTACGCTTGTACGTTTTGTCCCAGCTGGTTCGAGAAAACAGAGCAAATGGAGGAACTTTGAAGTATTCGTGCACTCGTTTCTCCGAGCAACAGACGACGTAAGTTCACGAAAGTGTTTCCTAAAACGTTTTCAATGGTTCCACCGCCATTTGTTTGGTTTTGTGTCGTTTGGGAGGCGGTTTACTGGCTGCTACACGTAAGCTAAACACTAGCTAAGTTTCACAGGCAGCTCGTTCTGCCAATACGTCACGTCATCACAGGAGGCTTCACGCGGTCCGTGCGATGTCTCCTCCCGGGAGCCCTGACTAAAACACGCTATTGAAGTGGCGTTTCATCACGAAGTTGAAGCATGGTTCTTACGACCAAAAGAAGAGACCGTCAGGGAGGGGCACAGCTCTCTCTCTCTCTCTCTCTCTCGGATCCAGAATCAGACGATCCTGATCAACAGGAAGCGATTCCTGCAGTGTCTTTGATCCTTGTTGTCGGTTTCGTTTTCTCTTCAGCTCACTTTGCTAAAATCACGTCAAACATGTGATCTGTCCTCCTGTTTGTCTCTTGCCGCCTCTCTCTCTACCAGGCGTTTGCTTTCACTTCATCGTGGACAGGCTTTCTGGAGAGCAACGCACCATCAACCATGGCTGCTGCTGCTGCTGCTGCTCCACCCGCCAGAGGCACCCTGAGAGAGGACCTGACATGCGCCATCTGCTGCGACCTGTTCAGGGAGCCGGTCATGTTGGCCTGCATGCACCACTTCTGCAAACCCTGCATCTCCAGGTACTGGAGAGGAACGCAGGGCCCCGTGAGCTGCCCGCAGTGCCGCAAGGAGTTCAGCTCCAAGCACTTCCAGACCAACTACCTGGTGACCGCTATGGTGGAGAAGGTCCGGGCCACCACCTCGGACTCTTACATCAAGAACCTAGAGGTGAGTTCAGGCCTCTGCTGTCGGTGGGGTTATCAGTGTTTGGTAACCACACAGCTGTATGGCTGTGCTCCAAAGTAAACCTATTGATCGAGAAGGAGCATTCTGTTATGTAAGCTGAAAACACTTGTTGTGTATCTTTCAGCCCACATCCGTGTTTATTTGACCGTAGTTCCACCATCAGCCTCAATTGCTTGGCCAAAGGTCACTCCCCACTCCCTTCTAAATGAATTAGAGCAGAGGAAATGGTGAGCGAGGCAAGAAAGATCAAAGCAACCAAACCGAATTCCTCTGAAAAAATGTATACTCATGATCCCTGTCAATGTGTTTAATACTGTGCCAGAAAGGTGGTTATTCGTTTAAAAAAAAAGATATGTTTATTTGCTATCTTTCCTAAAGAATTGAATTTAAATTGTAATTGTTGCACTAGATCGCAATACATTTGAATGTGTTTGTGATGTGTTTAATCATTCATATGATGCATATTAGATTTACATCGTATACATCTTTCATTAGAATGTCTATTTCATCAAAAGTACATTCTACAAAACCAAACCAAAACCAAAAGACACACCTTAAAGTCAATGTGCCAAAAGTTTCGGTCTCAAACTAAACTGAGCATTTGACGCAGCAGTATTTATTGCAGTGTGGTTTTCCGATTCATGGTCTCCCCTTGAGCTAATGTTTCTGTCTCCACAATGATTTATAATGCATATTGCTGTACAGAAACAACTGAAAGAAACTTTGGACAGTCATCGGCTGAAGAAGGAGGACTTCATCAACGCTATTCGCAGAGACAAAGACAAGATGGACACTATAAAGGTACAGGGGTCCTGCGGCTGCAGCACTTAACCGATAAGAACGCACGTGAAGCTCCCTAATGGCTGTGTGCAGTATGTCATTGCACGGTCTGTTTAGTGGTGTTTGCAGATGGCGCTGAGGGACAGTTTGTGCTTTGACATGTAAAGCATTGCATTGAGATTGCGCTCGGACGCATAAATGCCTTTTAGCCACTGGCTTCATTGTGTGTTAACTATGCATAAGCAATCCTTTAATCTAGTCTCAGAGTGCATCAGACCCCTTTTTAATGAAGCGCTGAACAGCTGAAGCCACGGGACAAACGCAAAACAAACAGGCACAGAGGCGACAGAAAGATGAGCACTTCTAATTTGTACGAGACAGAAGGAAGATAAGAGCTTGAGGGACGTTTTGCGTTCTGTGCCGTGATGATGAACAGCCGATCCCTCGTGGCTTCCACAATCTGTACTTAGTTTTGACATGCAGATCATTGATGGCGTGTACTTTTGCGGAAGCTTCTTAGAGGTTTATTCGCGCCGACTGCAAGAGGCTGAATTAGATCCTCCACCTGTGACAGGTTTTTTTTCTCTTTTTTTTTTGGTTTCAGAGAGTCGGAGCAGATCTGCAGGCTCACGTCAAAGAGGAATTCAGAGCTCTCCACCAGATCCTGCTTAACGAGGAGGCCTGCTCGCTGGAGCAGCTGAGGAGAGAGGAGGAGGAGGAGCTGGAGAAGGTCCGGCGCCACCTGGAGGCCACGGAGCTGGCGGTGCGGGAGCTGGAGGACGGTATAAAGGCGCTAGAGCAGGCTAGCGCTGCCACCGAAAACATCGTGCTAGCTGAGGTGAGTGTGCGTGAAATGTGTTGATGCCTGAAATTACCCGTGAACCATGTGTGACAAAGTGTCATGTATTTTAACCTTTTGAATTTTGCTTCCATTAGAATTTTTTTTAATGTTTTGCTTCCATTTGAAAACATGTTTTTTTTAAATTTGTATTTCTTCTGCTTCCTTCTCTCCAGCTCCCACAACTGCGGTAAGTGTTGTGACTGACTGATTGATGGTGGCGTTTTTTTTCTGTACCCATCATGATTTCTACCTCAATTTAGTGTCACCTGCGCTCAGGATAAATGACCCTTTCTAAACACGCGTTTGCTTTTTTTCTCCCCCCGCAACAGGCCATGTGTGCGGGAAAATATCGCCCCAGAGTTTGATGCAAATGCTTTCAGGAATAAATACATGGCTCCGTTACAGTACATCACATGGAGAAAGATGTTCAAGTCGTTGAATCCAGGTAATTTCCCATAGGATTTTTTCCTTCTTTTTTTTGTATTAGAGATAAGATCCATTACAAGCATCCAATCAAAATCAGTAAGGAGAGACTAGTATTATTTAAAGTACTAAGGACACCAGTGTTGCCCATACCATTATAATGAAGTTTGATAGGGGAAACACTGCACTCCATTGTTCCCCTGGGATATATTTTCATTTGACACTCTGTTGAGTTTTATTACCATTTAATGAATTGTTCTACCCCCAAAGGTCCGTCCCCATTAACGTTCGACGTGGACACCGCACACCCGAACATTCACGTCTCCAGGGACAAAACGGCGGCAGTCGAATGCGACGTCGAGGCGCCACACACGGACAGCAACAAGCGCTTTCTGCAGTGCGTCAACATTTTGGCTGCCCAGAGCTTCCAGTCAGGCCGACACTACTGGGAGGTGGAGGTGGGCTCCAAACCCAAGTGGGACCTGGGGGTGGCGTCCGAGGCCGTGGACAGGCGGGCTCGGATCAAGCTGAGCCCCGAAAGCGGCTACTGGACGCTGCGGCTGCGTAAGGGGAGGGAGTACTCGGCCGGCACGCAGCCCTGGACGAGGCTGCGCCTGGGCTCCTGCCCTCAGAGGCTCGGCGTGTTCCTGGACTGCGAGGAGAGGAGGGTGTCCTTCTACAACGCCGATGACATGAGTCTGCTCTACTCCTTCGCCGGCGGGCCGCGGGGCAAGGCGTTCCCCTTCTTCAGCCCGTGCATCAGTGACCGCAGTCAGAGAGCTCCGCCTATCAAACTGCTCCACTACCCGCCCGTCGCTCTGTCTGGCTGACGGACCGGCTGAGTGCACCTTCATAAATACGTTTCGCTTTGCAAGAGCTGCTGTCATCACTCGGCTATGAAAGAAAGAACAGGCCTGCCATTTGGGAGGGTTGTGGTTCTGTAAAACCAGTTTAATATTTTATTCAGATGCTTATTTTGTGTTCCATGCATCGATGATCAGATATGGCCAGATGCATCTATTTTCTATCTGAAATGAACCTAATAGCTTTTCCCAGTTAATTGCAAAAAAAACATTTACACTGCTACTATGATGAGGATTGTTTGATTTTATAGGAGCAGAAACATGAAAATAACAAAATGCTATATTCAACCATTGAATTTAGATGCATCATTTGATTTGAAGTCACACTTTATCCCTGTTAAAATCTACATTTGGTTAATTTTCCCTTATGTCAGACTTCCCTTTAGCTTGCTCATAAACCGCTCAGATGAGCGCCGTTGATTTACATCGGCAAGAAGCATTTGTTCGCTTCACTGAGATTGAACATTTGATTAAAAGGTTCTTTATGTTATAGTATGAAAGTAAAGTTTTTTTACCTTTTTAATTTTTTTTTTAAAGATGACTTCTTGCAGCTCCTTTATTCATTATTTGTGGAATTCTAGAACACGTGCATGTGGCTGACAGTGGATACAATGTACACTGCTTTGTATTGCTCAATGACATAACATGAATATATTTGTGTGCAGCATCCTGTCAGTGCTGTCTACTTGCATGTTTGATCATTTCCTGAAAAACACGCAAACAATACCTGCAAACGCTGCCGATGCAAATAATAAACCAATCACTTTTTCTTCCTTAAATAAACATTGTCTCTGCAGCTGTGACACTGCATTCTTCCACGACCTCACATGAAATAATCAAGGATGCTATTAAGCATCATCAAGGCAGAACACAAGACTCTGAACACACGAGCCGCCACTCAGGCTAAAACAACAACAGCGGGCGGCCTCTCGGTTATCTTCACAAACACACAAGAGCACTGACGTCCTGTTTCCTCCAGCCAGGTGAAAGGTCGTCTAAACAGAGTGACAGTGGGGATGCCTCTGGGATGGGGGGGTAGTCTGAAAGCAGGATGCTGCTGCCTCCTCCGCAGGTTGGAAAAGTGGCACAATGAGCTGATATCCAGAGGTGGGACCCGAGCTCTTCCTGCTCAGCGGATGCAGAGGGTGCGTCCACGATTCACTGACAACCCTGCACGCTCACTTCGACCCGTAAATGCAGCTTAAAAGTCGACTCAATCTCAGGTGAAGAGAGCAGCTGCTTTATGTCACATTTTTGCTTTTAATGTTCATGGCTGTTTTTGGATCCCGTGACCTTTCTGGAAAGCCGTTTGTTTGTTGCACTAAACAGTTCAATATTACAACGACGGCAGGCCTACCTCATCTTTGTTTGGGTTAGAAGCTATTTGTCATCAATGGTTTTATGATGACAAATGGGAAAACAATAATGTGTTACACAGCTGTACAGTTCCCCTCAGCTCTGGAGTGGAGATTAGTGTTTTTTAGTATTTCGCTTCACCACTCATCCATTTTATTTTGAACAGCAGGGAGCTCTGAAAGAAATGCGTCACCCACTAAACCGTCTGTACATCAATCACTCACAAAGAGTAAATCAGCATGGGGGCGCGTTTAGTAGCTAAACGATATAAAAACGTCCTTTCACAAACCCTCACACAGCTTAGTAGTATAATCCAGTGCTTATTGTGAGCGAACAAAGTTGTTGCAGATATTAAACAATGAAATGAATTCAATCTAAGAAGACTTTTCTCAATGTCTTGATTCTGCAGTGGTAGCAGAGGAATGAAAGTTCTCTTCAAAAATTCAAGGTAACACAGGATCATTTCGTTGATATTCAAAAAGGTGATTTTGTGGGTGATGTATTCCTGATGCTACAGCGACTGCACTTTACGCGCCCAAATAGCGGACAAAGCATCCCGCTATCTGGTGAACACAATGACGCATTTAGCTACGGAAGAGCCAGATGTTTTCATCAGGATTTGGATGAAACTTAAGGAGAACTAACAGGAAGGTAATGGAGCTACACCACTCCTAATGAATGCTCATGTATCTTTGTATCTGCCAACGCTTTGCCGACGCATTTGCCGAATCGGCTTTATCTGGCGGGTAATGTATTAACGTCTTGTTCTGCTGCCCTCAAGTGGCCAACACACACGTTTAAAACAGCTTCAAATTACAACAAGATGCGTTTAATTCAACTTCTACACCATTTGTTCAAAACTGACAAATTGGCTTTGAAAGCAAATTATTTAGTAAATGATGCCCAGGCAAACACTGCTCCTCCTTCTCCGACCCGAAGCTCGCCACGGCAACTGTTGACCGATGGCGATCGTGACTTACGGCTGATCTCAAATTCGCGCTCGATCAAAACAAAAGAGAACAGAGCAGCAACCGTGGCAGCTACTGCGCAGTGGCTTGGCAGAGGACAGCTTCGTGCACGGGGGCCCCCGGGGGCCCTGGCTTCAGCCAGAGAGAGAGAGCGTGCGCGCTCCACATCCTTCCTAGTAGTAGTAGCTGTGGGCCCGTAATGTGTTTCCTGACCTGAGGACGGGCCGGATGGAGTGCTGGCGTTTCAAGGACGGGTCCTTGAGTTGTCTCTCAGGAGCCCGGCAGGATTAGGAACTGAAAACTTCATCATTTGACACAGCAGGAGCTGACCGCGCTGTTCTGCGTAATGGGCTGTTGTTTGTTAATGCTGTTGTCTGAATGACTCGCCTGGATGCCTCTGTGGGCACTTTGTTGTTACGTCGGCCCCTCAGGCGCTTCCATGTGTCTCTCACATGATCTGTTTTATATTCATAATGACATTTGGTAACTCCCCGAACGTAGTTTTTGTTGGGCTATCAACACAATTTAGTGTGTTTATCTTCCTCTGAAGCCGACAGCGCTGCGAGGCTGAAACCAGGAGAACGTTTTAATTACAACCATTCCATCACAACATTGTGTTCTAAGGTCACAGAGGTGGATTTCCGTAAGGGATCCTGAAGGGGGGGGTGGAGACGCATGCCCTCAATAACACGCAGTGATCTTTTGACTCGCTGTTATTCAACACACTCACATTGACATTTCGTTCTCCACGGCTATGAAATCATCTGGAATAACAGCACAATTATATCAGGTATCTGATTGACACCTGCTGTTCTGAATGGTCAGTTAGGAATCAATCAGACTCCAACACCAGATTAAAGGAAACTCACTCAACGTGCCCACTCACTTTGGGCACGTTGTGCTCTTAGTACATGCTTTTCGTTCACACTCAATGAGGAGGAGTGACGTGTGGGTGTTAACACGGTTTGGACAAGGCTGGAAGAACTCTACTCTGTTTAGTTGTATTGGAAGCATCTTTGGATCTGACCCTTTGGAAGAATCCATACAGAGCTCCTGATAGTGAGCTACTCGCTCTGCTCAGCGGTTATTTGGAAGGAAGAGATCATTTTTTACCTAAGATTAATGGCTGACCTTTGCCCCAACAGATATAATTGCCTTGATGTTATGGTGTCAGAAGAGTTGGATGCTAAAATGATTATTTTGTGGATCCAAGTCAGTTGACCAGAGGAAAAAATATCATGCAAAACCCTTCTAATATTCCACCTACTGTGCATTTTGTGTACTTCCTTGATGACCCGGCTGTGCTCCGTTGGAGGCTCTATAAGAACATTGACAGTAGCAGGATGAAGTGCTGAGCTTTTGATTGACTGTCTTTTTTTATTTTTTAAATGGCCTGAAAAATTCATAGAGGGAAAATCAATGCTAGAGAGTTCTGCACTTAAACGTTTATTGAAATGATCACAGTTGTTTGTGGTGTTCTGATTGTACCATCTTTTGCTTTTGTTAACAGGAATTCACTTTACAGGCAAAACGTCTTGCAGTATTATTAGCTTAATTCATATGAATCAAAACTATTCATTGTGCGGTGAAATTATTTTTGTTTATGCCTTACTCTGGATTATTACTTGTGTGGCATCAATGTGTATGTTGCAATTTATTGCTGCAGATGTTCGTGGTCGACTTTATTTGAACACTCTTTGCTAGTTTTATCTATACAGCTACACATGAGAGCATCGTGTGTTCGCCATGCTGTTTTAATGAGCTCAGAAAATAGATCTTTGCGGTGATGACTTTTGCATCTCATCTACAGGGGGATTGAAAAGTAACAACAGCTCGCAGAATAGAAAGAACAATCCTTGCGTCCTGGATGCAATGCATGCAAAGGTGCAGGAAAATGGAAATACTGAGATGTACAAGTAACTTCATGTTTTACTCATGTGCAATGTTTGAGTAAATGCACTGATTGACATCATGAAAGGGGTGCTGCAGGAAGGGGGGTTTGTCATGGATGTTAGAGACCCCCGTAAACACACACACACACACACACACACACACACACACACACACACACACACACACACACACACACACACCCCCCTCAAAGTCAGCTTGTTTCATGAACTGGCTGACCGTGCGTGCGTGCGCTCCGGTCACGAGCAAAGGAAGGGGAAATGGTTGTAAATACCATTCAGTGCTCTGTCCATCCTTTTGACCGAACGGGAAAGAAAACAAGTCTCTTTTTGACCCTTTTCCTCTTCATTTCGGCTCCGTCTTCCGCGTGCAGAGGTGCGTGGGCTGCAGACCAGGCATCGATTAGCCGAGGTTCACCTGAGTTTCCCCCCACCAACCCACGGACATTCATTCAAACCGCATCTCCACCGCCTCCAGCTGCGGTCAATTGAATTAGTCGTGTTCATTTTTGTTCTTTTATAACAAGAAGCAGCGCTCAAGCTCCTGCGCTTCTGGACCGGAGATCTGGAGATGAAGACAAACTTTACGCTTTTCTGTCGGACTTTGACTGGAATAGCATATGCCGCAGGTGAGAACACCTCTACAGTGAGTCTGAAAGTTTCCAGCGCATAAATTAAAAAAAGATATATATATATATATATATATATATATATATATATATATATTATTGGCAATTTTAAAGTCGAACTCACTGTTAACACCGACTTTCGGTAAATATACAATCATTTAGTTTTTCTACCGTCGCAAAAGTTGTCTCTGCAGTATAATTTAAGCTTTTCAGCATAGGTGTTATTCTTTTTGCAACATTCTGTTCTGATGGGTTGTAAATGGAGTGGGTGTTCCTATTTTTGTTGTTGTTGCAATAAATGCACCACATTCAATCAAGTACACCAAAGGCCAGTCTCCCTTCTGTTTGCAGTCAGTGCATTTGCATCTGCTCGTGAATCCCTCACACACGATTGAAGGTTGCCTCTCATCACGGGACTGAATTCATATGGCACTCTACAAGTCTACAAGCAGATAGGCACTAGAGGGAGGCATGCTGTTGTTGTGCTTGATTGATAATGCTGAGGAACAAAAACATTTAGGATTCTGTCTGTTATGTTGAATCCGAGTGACAGAATGTGAGGGGCACCGTCTTTTCTGGACTGAAAAGGGTGTCAGATCCCTTTAGATATCTCAACAGTGGTGTTTCTTTATGTAATCATATTTGTGCAAAGCAGGAGGAAGGTGAGAGAATGTCACTCGCTTCCAGAACAAACCAACTTTGTTTGAAGAAATTTGTGGTCGCTCTCAGCGTGATCGGCCTCCTACGTGAGCTTTTCCTCCGTGGTTTCTCTCCAAAAAGAGGCTGAATAATCTGGAGCACATTGTCGACATACTTGAAACGGGCCCATCTGAAACGGCTCTGTTATCAGCATGGCAGATTTCACAACAAACAACATGACAACAACCCAATGTGTATGTTTCATCGCAGATTGCTATTGAACAGCTGTTCATG